GACACTGTATGAATTCAAGTAAACCATTATATCCTTAGCCCTCAGCCAAATTTATTTATAACAAGACAGAATGAGAAGGTAACTCTTCATAGCTGTGAAGTTAAATGTAATTAAGGAATTATTTCATGGCAAGCACATCTAAGTCACTTCACAGTCCCCACCCTGCAACAAACGATCTGAAGAGTTTGCTTTGTTCAAGGAAAATTAGGAGACCTATTTTCTTATGGGCACAAACAGCTTCCCTTTTCAGCTATGTGCTAAAAGTAGGAGCTCATCTCTGCTTAGAGGAAATAGCTTTTGTTTTGTGACTTGGTAGAACATTTGCCTTGGTTTAAGCTCATAAGCCTCTTTATGGTCTCTATTTGAACAGAAAAACTTTACTTTTTCACCACTGGCAGTTGAACTCCATTAAGAGAAAATAAAAAAAAAACCCTACCCTTGATTCCTGTAAAACGCCGTTTAAAAGACCAAATCAAGGATGTGCTTAAATGCATTCAAGAAAGGAAGAAACCTCAACACCAAAGTCAAAACCTGAGAGTGCTCTGGGGCTGGATAATTAACAAGAAATCAGGAGTTAAGAGCTCAGTAGAAGGGTAAAGCATTCTAGCCCTTGTAGCTACAAATATATGCTTTGAAGTACACAAGCCATGTCTGCTGACACCTCAGAAACGAGAGGTAGAAGAATGAGATTCTCAGTGTCTTGAAGAGGGACTCCACTGCCCTCTCCCTCACAATTAATACATTCAGAATATGCAGAACAACAAACATGGTAACATCTTCACAAGAAATATTGAGATTAGGTTCATTTGCCTAATTTAAACAAGTTATAGAACTCAGCTTTTAGTAGTTCAAAATGTGGATGTAATTACTTTAGCTTCAGGTACAAAATTTACTCACACACAGAAAAGGAAGACTGTCTTTATTGCCTACAGTGTCTCATTCACAGCTCAGAGGAATCCCAACACACCCAAGAGAACTACTGCACAGCATGTCGCTCTTTGGTGCCTCCAATTAGGAGGCACTACTTAGTTTTCTGAGAGCTCTCCTACATTAGTGGTGACATGGATCTGAAGGCAGAGTACCCATACGTGGTGTTTTTGTCATCAGAGAGGAGCAACCTTAAAGCCAGATCCCAAAAACTGAGTCAGAAAGACCCAGCAAATGCTTAACTTGCCTAGTTTTTTTCATACAGAGGTACAGATAGAGAGAATGCTGAGCTCTTTCAAATACAAGCCCAGAATTTCTCAAGCACCTGCTGTTCATTGCTTTGCCACTCCTAGCTACCACTGGTCTCCCTGTCCTGCCACAGTTCCCCAATATTGCCTTTCCTCCCCTGCCTGCCCTGTGGAGTGGCTGCCTGCCCCTGGCTGGATAGGCAACAAATGTGTTCCAGTGTCAGCACTAGCAGCTAATTCATGGAGCAAAGACCAAGACAGCAGTCTTGGGCACCAGCTGAAAGGCATTGCCCATTTGATACCTGCCTCAGGACTGCTGTGGGTTGGTGTTTGAAGAGGGCAGTCTCACAGCAATTGCTGTTGATCAACTTAGAGGCACAGAAGCTGGTTTGTTTTCATCGTATCAATTTTAATTGTGTCTAGGGGACTTTGAGGAGCAAGGGGGTGCCCCCATTATTGTGGTCATGGCTTGGGGAAATATGGCACTGGGGGACTACAAGCGGGCTGAGGAGAGGAGGAAACCTCAAAGTTATTTCCTCTTCTGGTTTTCCCCACAACCAGACAGTTCCTGGCAGCCTTAGCAACCTGTCCTTGGATCTTGTGCTGCTGCAGCTGAATGCCAGGATGGCCCAGAATAAGATCTCCCTCATCCATGCCTTGACTGCAGAGGAAGGGGCTGACCTGGCTGGCATCATTGAGACCTGGGTGGGTGAACTGAGGGCAGTTACTGCCTCTCAGCTGTGCCTTCCTTGATACTTGGCATAATACCAACATTGATTCAAGGGCTTCGAGAGGTGCTGTGGTCTGTAGGAATACAGTCTCCCTCTCAAGGCTTCCTGTTCAGTCGAGTGCTTAAGCTGATATACCAACTACGACTCTATCTGGACAGGGGAAGCCTAGCTTCAATTATCCATGCTCTGGTAACCTCTTGTTTGGATTACTGCACTGCACTGTATGTCTTTGAAAACAGTCCAGAAACTTCAGGTAATCCAAAACGGGGCAGCAAGACTGTTAACATGCTCTAATGCTCATAGGAGCAAATAACACCAGTCCTCTTCCAACTATACTGGTTGCCAGTTGAAGTCCAGACCTGATTCAAAATGCTAGTACTAACATTCAAAGCCCTAAACGGTTTGGGGCTAGGTTATCTTCAAGGGGCCCTTCTTTGTGAGTCCCTTCCAAAGGAAGAGTGGCAGGTGGAGGGCCTTGTTGGCTCCAGCACCCCAGTCACTGAATGAATGCGCCAAACTGGTGTGCCTGGCACTGACTTTGTATTTTTTTTGACGCCAGGGGAAGACCTTTTTATTTTCTCAGTATTTGAATTGTTTAACTTTTTTATATATTCTATGTCCTTCTGAACCGCTTCTATGCTCAAGCACAGCAATTGCAATTGCTATTATGGATTTATTCTTTTAAGTCCATGCCTGTATATCTTTTTAACATTTAATTTTAACTTCTGTTAACCGCTCAGAGAGCCTCAGCTATTGGGCAATATAAAGTGAAACAAGCAAACAAACAAACAAACAAATGCTACAAGAGCATGGATAGATTTAAAAATGACCAATGAAGCTGAACGGGCCCACTCAGTGGCAGGCCCAGCTCAAAACATGACCTCTTCATCAAAGGTCAGAAAGCTGCTTTCTTCCTAGCTCCTGGAGCGGAGACCCCAGAGGCCAAATCAAACCTATCTGGTGTCTCAAATTGACCTGTGGGGTTCTCCAGAGGCCCATGCTCCCTTCCCTTGGCCCCAACTACCAATGGCTTGGTGGTTTTCTGGCTTTTCCTGAGGTTCTCCTCATTCTAAACAGTTGAAATGCCTTTCTTAATACTTACCTACTGGCAATAAGAGCTTTGAGATAAAATAAGTTGGTAGTTTTGGCCCTAACCTTTCCATCACTGGTCCCTAAGAACTTACCTAAAATGGAACTGTGCCCCTAGACTGATACAGGGTTGACACAACTCTCCTAGAAGCATACCTCAAATATCTCTCAGAGGGACACCTGGTGAGGTATGTCAGAGACAAGCTGGGACAAATCTCAAATAGCCAGCTGCCAAAATAGAAATAGTGGTGCTGGCCCTATGAATCTCTTCAGTTTCCTGAAGAGAGAACGAAAGGAGACCATCATTGCAAATGAGTTCAGCAGGAATCTTTCCTGAGCAAGATTAGCCATGGTGACTACCTCCCCCAGCATCCTGGTGATTAGCATCTAAAAAACAGATAGTAACACATTCATTGGGTTCTTTCCATTAAAAAAAACAAGGAGTTGGAAAGTCCAAGAGATGATCTAGATAGGTAAGGCAGTAATCTCTGCTGGGTTATACTAGGTGCAAATACATTATTGTGAAAGCATAAGACTGACTACCAGCTCCAAGTAAGAAGCGACAACAACAACGCTGTCTAAACACTAGCCTAACTCAAGGGTCAAGTCCCTACACATGGTCAGACACCAAGTTCCTCCATCTTAGTACCAGCTGCCTAGAGGGGCTGGTGAAAGATCACACAGCCCAGCCCCATGCCTCAGGCAGTATATCCTAGAAGAAACATTTGACAAACATGTCTTCACTTTGTCACTGCAAACAAGTCATTTTAGGTGCTATCTGCTCAATTGCTCTCCCTTTAGAAGCATCTATCAGAAACATTTGCTATCATTTGGGTTATTCATAAAAACATAGTAACAGAGCGAGTCAGAAGGGGTCTCCAGGGCCATCTAGTCCGACCCCTGGCTTCAGCCGGCTCCACTCATGACATGCCTACCATGTGCATGTTCAGCCTATCCTTATGCACCCTCACTGATGGGACTTCAACTACCTCCTGAGGAAACCCATTCCATACCCTAGGGGTCCTAACCATCAGGAAGTACTTCCTGGCATCCACCTTGAATCTTGGTTCCCCCTCAGCTTTGCTCCACTGGCACACATCCTGCCCTCCACTGCAGGGAAAAAATGGTCATGACCCACCTCTGTCTGGCACCCCCTCACATACCTGTAATGTCATTAACAGGTCCCCTCTGAGTCTGAGAGTGGCAGTAATACCTCTCTCAATCTAGAAGCCACGCTTCTGGCTATGCATCCTAGGGTGGTGTTCACTCTGTTGACCACCGCATCACACTGCTGACTCATATTCAGCCTGCAGTCAACCAGCACCCTGAGATCCCTTTCACAGGTGCTGCTCTCCAGCCACTTGTCCCCCTAACTTGTACTTATGACACCCTTTCCTATGCCCCAGGTGCAAAACCTTGCACTTATCTGCACTGAATGCCATCCTGTTGTCCCTGGCCCACATCCATAGTCTGTCCAGATCCTTTTAGAATCGGATTACCTGCTTCTCACTTGTAGCCACCGCCCCCAATTTAGTATCATCTGCAAATCTGATCAGCAGACTTGTCACCCCCTCTTCCAAGTCATTGATGAAAAGATTGAACAGGATCAGTCCCAGGACAGAGGTGTCACTGACTGCCACCCCAGTGATTCCCCATTAATAGTTACCCTATTCATTCAAAGGCAGGTTTCAAGGCAGATCCTTGGGGAGCTCCTGTTTTACAGGAGCAACAAAAATTAAAAGCATTTAAAATGTTTTCTCAACTTTGCAATAATGCTGCAAAGATAGTAACTGAATTCCATTTTACGGGTAAGGAAAGGAATAGAACCTTCTATATAATTTCCTTTAGGGAAAGGAATATTCCCAAAAATCCACAGCATTTTTCCCCGTTTCTTCTGCAGAAACCCAGGGGAATGCAACAGATTCATGAACAGGCCTAGGCTTACTTAAATACAATCATGAGATCCCCTTGCGTTTGAAAGGATGCTCCTTAAGGCACAGCTTACCGTCAATTAGAGCTTGTGTAGCTTCATCATAAGGGGGCATCTTCTCTACTTCATTTTCTATTGCCTGAGCATCATTTGATGGATTGGCTGGGGGGACCTGTAGAGAGAGCAAGGCAGCAGGTTCCCATCATAACTTTCAACCCCAGACCAGGAGCAGAAGGAAAAGAAAAAGGGATGTTGAAAAAACTAGCAGACACAGAGAGGCAGCCTGATAACTACAAAGTGATCAAGAGCTTTCTATGTAAGGAGATACTGATTCAAAGGAAGGAAAAAAACAAAGGGAGGCACATACTAGGCTCTATAGTACAGAATTGTTTGCTGGTACTAAGCAGGGATCACTTCAAATACTGCCAGCAAACAACCATGCAGTTGAATATACAGGAGCTAGTATCATGTAGTGCAGAGATGGCAGCCTTTTAGAGACTGAGTGCCCAAACTGCAACCCAAAACACACTTATTAATTGCAAAGTGCCAACAGTATAATAAAACTTGAAAGCTGAGGCTTTAGTTTAGAAAAAAACAACTCAAAGGCAGTCCAAGCAAATATATATATATATATATCCTTGGCAGAGCACTGACTGGCCATGTGAAAGCTTGGACGAGTTGCGGCTAATGAGCATGTGCATGGCCCCTATGTGCACTATTATCCAATGCTCAGCTGCTGGGGCGATGCCGGAGTGCCTTGGCTCGCATGCTGACAGAGAGAGCTCTGCATGCCCACTGTGGCACGCGTGTCGTAGGTTCACCACCACTGCCCTAACCCTAATATAGGCCTAAAGTTCAATTGAAAATAATGCGATTTTGAAAAAGCCTTCCTTGAGTAGCTTTTTCTGCACAGCTCATCATTTCTGCCCATTCTAAACACATTCAACCATCAAAATCATGCCAGGACACCTCATTTTTCTAACCCTAACCCTGCCCTGGCACACACCCCTAACCCTAATGTAGGACTAAGGTTCCATTGAAAAGAGAGGGATTTTGAAAAGGCCTTCCTTGAGTAGCTTTTTCTGCACAGCTCATCATTTCTGCCCATTCTAAACACATTCCAACCATCAAAATCATACCAGAACACCTTGTTTTTCTAACTCTAACCCAGTGATGGTGAACCTTTTAGAGACTGAGTGCCCAAAAACTGCAACCCAAAGCACACTTATTCATTGCAAAGTGCCAACATGGCAATAAAACTTGAAAACTGAGGTTTTAGTTTAGAAAAAACAACTCACAGCCAGTCCAAGCAAATATCTATCTATCTATCATTGGCAGTGCGCTGACCGGCCATGCAAAAGCTCGGATGAGCTGCGGTTAATGAGTCACGGCTTGTGACGTCATCGCTTGGTGCCACTACTCCTGAGCATGCGCATGGCCCCTATGTGCGCTGTTATCCAATGCTCAGCTGCTGGGGCAATGCTGGGGCGACCTGGCTTGCGTGCTGACAGAGAGGGCGCTGTATGCCCGCTGTGGCACGCATGCCATAGGTTCACCACCATTGATATAGTGGATGCCACATTCAGATTGGACTTGTGAGATCTGGGTTCTGGTCCCCACTCAGCTATGAAATTCATTGGGTGATTTTGGGCCAGCTGCAGGCTCTCAGCCAAATCTACTTCATAAGGTCTTGTTATGAGGATAAATGGTGCAGAGGAGAAACCTGAAAGCCACATTGAGTTCAAACAAACAGAAGGAAGGTGGGGTATAAATACAATGTGACCACCACCAGCACCACCATCTTGTAGTACATGCCCCATAAAAGACTTCACAAAAATAGATTATGTAATGTACCAGAAGGAATGCAGGGACAACAGAACTCTATCCCAATAAAAAGAAGAAAGGTGATCTTTCATCTATATGATGAACAGGCTTGAATTGTCCCATTGCTGTGACAGGAGGCAAAATCAGCCTCTACTTGTTTTTCATTCAGCTGTATATGAAAAGGATTGCTCATCTTCTGGAATCCCTCACATGCAGAATCCTGGATGGAATTTGTGATTTCAGACTTAGTTGTTGCTGTATGTAGTTGTTGCTTAAGTATGTATGCCTCAGAGCTATGAAAATGGGGTGTGAGTCAACAAAGAGTCAACAAAGGCAGCAGAGCAAGTTTTTGTGACCAGCATGGTTAGCTTTCTGCCTGGTCTCCATGTGATTTAGTTAAGATCCTTTCTCATATAACTGCCTTGTCATCACGTTACTCCTTGAGCAGCTTCTCTCAATTCAAACAAGAAGCATGCAGGTATTCTGCTCAGGATAACATTTACAAAAATAAATACGCTTGCATATTTTCTCTTGTGGTACATGGTCACACACACAGATTTAGGAGCAGGATATATCCCTGCACATCCTATTTGTAGACTTCTATGATACAGTTAGTACCTTTATTTCTTCATCAATGCTATCTTCATCAGTTTCCTCCTCTTCATCATCCTCTTCATCATAGTCCTCATCAGGAGGTAGCTGGTCCACCTGGGCATCTGGTTGATTATCTGACTCTTCCTCTCCTGGGGCTGTTGGTGGAGGCTGTTCATCAGCCGAGCTCTAGAGAAGGAAGACTTGAGATTAGTCCTGTATCAGTAATAATACTTGATTACTGAGTTCAGTAATATTTAGAAAATTCAAGCAGCAAGGAAGAAAAACTGCTAGAGTTCCTGAAAAGACAGTCTTTCCAACACTCCTTCAGAGAAGGCTCCACACTGGATACAGAAAGGCAGGTTGCTTAGGGAGGAGAGAGAGAGAAGCAACAGTCTTCTCTCTGCACTAGCTAAAGGTAAAGGAAAAATGTGTTTTTGTTTTTAAGAGAAGGAAACTAAAGAAGAAAAAATGGCGAACTGTTTGAGCAAGGTAGAGAGGTCCGATCTGGAGAGTGAAACCCAGCGCGGTCGAAAAGAAACTGAGTGACTGGGCAGGAGCCACTGCCTATGTACCACCAGGGTGCAGGGCGATCCCAGCTCCCGCCCACTCCAAGGCAACGAGCTCTGGAGGTTTCCACTGGATGAGGCCTTCATTGCGCGTCAAGCCCCCATTGGTGTGTGTGTTTGCATGGAGACCACAAAGAAGAAGGCCCACTTCCCCAGCATGAGGAGATGGCCCAATACAATGCTGTCAGTATCAGAAAGCTGCTCTAAATCTACACAGTCCAAACCGTTCTGCTAGAAGTATCAGTCCATTTATGCTTCTTAGTACTGCCCTTCTGACTAATTTGAGGATGCAAAGCAGCTTATATCAATGCTGTATGAATGATGCAGTGATACTACAAGAGCATTTCTCAATCTATCAGGTGCCCCCAAAAGTGAAATTCAAAAGGATGTTCAGAGGGAGATGAGAGGGAGATAACATAAGACCAGGAGCTGACTGTGGCTCAGATCATGAGCTTCTCGTTGCAAATTTTAGGCTTAAATTGAAGAAAGTAGGGAAAAGCATTAGGCCACTCGGGTATGACCTAAATCATATCCCTGATGAATATACAATAGAGATGACAAATAGATTTAAGGAATTAGATCTGATAGACAGAGTCCCTGAAGAACTATGGACGGAGGTTTGCAACACTGTACAAGAGGTAGCAACTAAAACCGTCCCAAAGAAAAAGAAATGCAAAAAAACAAAATGGCTGTCTGAGGAAGCTTTACAAATAGCTGAGGAAAGAAGGGAAGTGAAAAGGCAAGGGAGAAAGAGAAAGATACACCCAATTGAATGCAGAATTCCATAAAATAGCTAGAAGAGAGAAGAATGCCTTCTTCAATGAACAGTGCAAAGAAATAGAAGAAAACAATAGAATAGGGAGGACCAGAGATCTCTTCAAGAAAAATAGATATGAAGGGAATGTTACATGCAAAGATGGGCATGATAAAGGCCCAAAATGGCAGGGACCTAACACAGGCAGAAGAGATTAAGAAGAGGTGGCAAGATTATACAGAAGAATTATACAAAAAAGAGCTTGACGCCCCTGATAACCACAATGGGGGTGACCTTGAGCCAGACATCCTGGAATGTGAAGTCAAATGGGCTTAGGAAGTCTGGGCAACAACAAAGCTAGTGGAGGTGATAATATTCCAGGTCAGCTATTCAAAATCCTAAAAGACAATGCAGTAAAAGTGCTACACTCAATATGCCAACACATTTGGAAAACACAACAGTGGCCACAGGATTGGAAAAGGTCAGTTTATATTCCAATTCCAAAGAAGGGCAATGCAAAACAATGTTCGAACGAATGCACCTCTGCACTCATTTCGCATGCTAGCAAAGTTATGCTCAAACTCCTACAAGCTGGGCTCCAGCAGTATGTGGACTGAGAACTACCAGAAATACAGGCAGGGTTTCGAAGGGGCAGAGGAACTGGAGATCAAATTGCCAACATACGCTGGATCATGGAGAAAGCTAGGGAGTTCCAAAAAACATCTACTTCTGCTTCATTGACTATGCTAAAGTCTTGGATTGAGTGGATCACATCAAATTGTGGCAAGTTCTTACAGAGATGGGAGTACCAGACCATCTTACTCGTCTCTTGAGAAATGTGTGTATGGGTCAAGAAGCAACAGTGAGAACTGGACATGGAACCACTGATTGGTTCAAAATTGAGAAAGGACTTTGGCAAGGCTGTATACTGTCACCCTGCCTATTTAACTTATATGCAGAGCACATCATGAGAAAGGTGGGGCTCAATGAATCACAAGCTGGAATTAAGATTACCGGAAAGGTGGTGCTTGATGAATCACAAGTTGGAATTAAGATTGTAGGGAGAAAGATCAACAACCTCAGATATGGAGATAATACCACTCTAATGGCAGAAAGTGAAGAGGAACTAAAGAGCCTCTTGATGCAGGTGAAAGAAGAGTGCCAAAGTTGGCTTGAAACTCAACATCAAGAAAACTAAGACCATGGCATCTGGTCCGATCACTTCCTGGCCTGCCTGGGTGTGCCCTGCCCCTCCCATCTTGCTGCACAGATGATATTCCAGAGCACTCCCTGTTCAAATCAGGGCTTGCCCACGAGGCACTCATTGTAAGCTCATCATCATTCCCGACTCCAGACAATGTTGTGATCCTCCAGTACTGCATTTTCTGTGAGGTTTTTTTTTTTTTTTTTTTTAAAGACTAGGGTAAAGTGCAACATTTAACCAAAAAAGCTAAAGAAAGTGTGATTTCTTCTTTAGTGTTTATACTGTTCTGCTATACCATGGTGCCCCCTAGATGTTATGTAGCAGAAAAACGGGAAAGGAAATGCTACAGGTATGGTGACTTCTGGAACAAAATTGAAAGTAGGTCCTGCAAATTAAGAGCCTTGTGTAGCTCCAGATGCTGGATTTTCGAGTAGCACAATTTTCTTACACTGTAAATACCAATCCAAGGGCTATCAATACAATGGGTGGAATGGTGCCAAGCGTCCTTCCAAACAGGCCTGCTTTCCCTTCTTAATTTCTAATTCAGTTTGTTGTTCACTTACAAAGAGGAAGTAGCTTTGATTTCTCAGTGATCCTGGACAGGCAAATTTCTCCACAGCAGCTGGCTCAGCTTCCTGATATCAACGAGGACCACCGCTTTACATGTATAGATAGCTAAGGACAACTGGGAACTGGATTCTGAACTCTTGTTAAAACACAAGCATTTCACCAATATGCTATGGCTTTGCAAATCACACTGGGCAGTTTCAGAACTACTGAATGTATCACAGCTTCCTGAGAGAACAGCAAACAAGATTTACTGCATGCTTCCCCCACCCTCCGAACTACTACTGCTGTGTTCTTGGATTTCCCTTGTACGCAGCAGTAAACATCCAGGAAATGTTTGTGCCTAAATCTGTGCCAGGGGAACCAAAGATAACAGTGGGTTTGCACGGAAGCTTCCCTTCCCTGGGTCAGATTACTTACTGGTTGTGGGCTACTTTTGTCTCTCTCTGCCACTTGGCTCTGGAGTGAGACTTCTGCAAATGGTCTGTCTCGAGGGCAACTGCCTTTGCTTCCTTAGGCCGCAGACTGGATTGCAGTATGCACTGTACAATGAATCACTCTATGAGGGAGGGAAGCGTTCGGTGCAAGAGCCACATGACCATTCACAAAGCTGAAGCACAAGAGTGTTCTTGTGAAATGGAGAATAAAGTGATTCTGGTGTGATGGTGGAAGCAAGCAAGAATTTGGTGGAAGCAAGCAGGAGTCCCCAGAGCTTCCCTACCACCACCAAACCCATAGCCATGCTGCACTGCTGGCTTCTGGAGGGAAGAGAGTGAGTTCTACTCTCCCTCTTCTTTTCTCTATCCTTCCCTGTGGAGACCAGTCTGCACTTTTCCAGCAGGATCAGACTTTCAATGGGACAAAGGCTTGCGCAGTAGCTCAAGCTATTAACTGGTATGCTGACAGTAAAGTTGCAACTGTTCTGAAAAGAGTCTGAAAATCGATAGACCCTTCAGGTGGCCACTTTGCCCCACTGTCCAACTGATGCTGGAGCCAAACAGAATTACAGTAGACATATAGTTTCTTTTTCTTTGAGATGGAATCTCTTTTGAACTCTTCCTAATTTCCCAAAAGACAACCCAGAGGCGTGTGCATTTGTTTTGACTTACCTTGACCCATTGAGCTAGTGGAGGAGACAGTATTCCAGCTGAGTTATTCAAAATCCTAAAAGATGATGCAGTTAAAGTGCCATACTCAACATGCCCAAAGAAGGGCAATGCCAAATATTGTTCATACAAGCTAGGCTCCAGCAGTATGTGAACCGAGAACTATCAGAAGTACAGGCAGGGTTTAGAAGGGGCAGAGGAACTAGAGATCAAATTGCCAACATACGCTGGATCATGGAGAAAGCTAGGGAGCTCCAGAAAAACATCTACTTCTGCTTCATTGACTATGCTAAAGTCTTGTATTGTCTGGATCACAACAAATTGTGGCAAGTTCTTAAAGAGATGGGAGTACCAGACCATCTTATTCGTCTCTTGAGAATCATGTGTGCGGGTCAAGAAGCAACAGTGAAAACTGGGCTAGATGAATCACAAATTGGAATTAAGATTGCCGGAAGAAATATCAACAACCTCAGATATGCAGATGATACCACTCTCTTGGAAGAAAATGAAGAGGAACTAAAGAGCCTCTTGATGCAGGTGAAAGAGGAGAGTGCAAAAGTTGGTTTGAAACTCAACATTAAGAAAACTAAGATCATGGTATCCGGTCCTCTCACTTCCTGGCCAATCAACAGGGAAGAAATGGAGGTAGTGACAGATTTTATTTTCTTCGGCTCCAAGATCAATGAAGACGGGGACTGCAGTCAAGAAATTAAAAGATGCTTGCTCCTTGGGAGGAAAGCTATGGCAAATCTAGACAGCATACTAAAAAGCAGAGGCATCACCCTGCCAACAAAAGTGCATATAGTCATGGCCACAATTTTCCCATTTGCAATGTATGGCTGTGAAAGTTGGACCAAAAGGAAGGCTGAGCGCCGAAGAATGGAGGCCTTTGAACTGTGGTGCTGGAGGAGACTCCTGCGAGTCCCTTGGACTGCAAGGAGATCAAACCAATGGCTTGGGGAAATGTTGCAAAGTTCTGTAATGTTTAAACCAGAAATATTTTTGTTAGACATTCTCCCTGATGATCTTGATAAACAAACTATATATTTGATTTTGCATGTAATAACAGCGGCAAGGATTGCATATGCGCAATGTTGGAGAAATGAAGAGCTACCTACTGAAGATTTGATCCTGAATAAGATATTGGACTGTGCAGAAATGGATAGACTGACTTTATCTCTTAAGGAAAAAGAAGATACAGTTTACTAGCAAACATGGGACTTTTTCTATCAATGGCTACAGAATCAGAACTCTAATACATAGCATTTTGTAGAGAGAAATAAGACTTTGTACACAGTATGTCTGAAGTCTTTAGAATAATTATTTGTTTAGTGAGTAGAAAATAATAAAACTTTTGGATAAGAGATCAAACCAGTCAGTTTTAGAGGAGATCAACCCTGATTGCTCTTTAGAGGGAGAAATACTGAAGATGAAACTCAAATACTTTGGCCACCTAATGAGAAGGATGGACTCCCTGGAGAAGAGCCTAATGCTGGGAATTATTGACAGCAAAAGAACAAGGGGACGGTAGAGAATGAGGTGGCTAGATGGAGTCACTGAAGCAGTAGGTGTGAGCTTGAGTGGACTCCGGGGGATGGTGGAGGACAGGAAGGCCTTGGGGAATGTTGTTCATGGTGTCGCGATGGGTCAGACACGACTTTGCAACTTACAACAACATTGACAACAACCATTCTTGCTGACAGAATTAATTTTTCCAGTCTCTACCCACTCAATTCCTTTTTCTTTGTACATCTTTTTCCATTGTAAGCTTGCAAGCCAGGGACTATCTTATTTAACTGATTATATTCAAGCCACTCTGGAAGCTTTTGGTTGAAAAGCAGCATAAGAATACTTCAAATACTATAAATAATAAGAAGAAAGTAATGAAGTATAATAAAGGCACAATGTCAATGACTAAAATCAAATATATTTTAGCTTAATTAACTTCTAAAATCTATATTAATTTTAAAAAATAGGCTTAAATACTAAACAGTGGCACATAGTGGTTACAGAAGTGTGCTAGGCCAATAAGCCACACATCAGAGGAGTGTGGAGGGAGACTGTACAGCTCATTCCAATAATGCGAAACCATAGCTTATCATCTAAACATAGTATGACCTTTACCTCTCCCTTCTGAAACACAAGAAGAAACTGGTCTCTAATCTACTCCATAAAGAGTTTCTAATGATGCCTCCGACAAAACCTACAGGGAAATATGCAATTAGTTGGGCAGTCCTGTACTCAGAAATTAGCCCCACTGTGCCCAATGGTGCTTACTCCCAGCAAACTGCATAGAATTGCAGATTCCACTTCCCATACATCCACAATGGTTGCTTCCCCTGTTATATACTTATCTCAAGATTAGGATTTCAGGAGGCACTCAAATAAGCCAAATAAAAGCACTTCATATGAAGGCCTAACTCTCACCATCAGAATGTGTTTTTATCATAAGTCACTCTATGCATGTTTTAAATAGGAAACAACTGTTACATTCAAAGCACTTGCATCAAATTTTAAAATTCTAAACAGCTTGGGGCCAGGTTATCTAAAAAGGTCCACCTCCACTGAATGGTCCTCCCTTATGTTAAGACCAGTTTTAGATTCTCTACTTGTCTGATCCTAACTTATCTTAAGGGGGCATCAGGCATAAGATATCATTGTTCTCGTTGTTCCCCATAACCATGAAACTATACATGGACCCCACATTACTGGCTTTAGTGTTCCACAACAAAACAGAGTTTCTACGACTGTTTTATAAAGGTTTGGAGATTTGAATACACAGAAGGGGTAGGCAGAAAGTAGATCTCCACGTGCCATTGCTGCCAGGGACTGCTGAGAGGTAAAGTCCAAAACTTCTGGAGAGCTACTTTCTACTCACCTCTCCTATATAGCATTTGAAGTCTCTGATTGTTGCTGTGATTGTGTATGTCACTATGAGGGCAATGTTGTAAAGGGCAACTTATGGATGTTTAAAATATTTATAAGTCTATAAATAAGAAGCAGCAGTAGACCTCTTTCCAATATATATGAGCTGATTTTCTTTCTTATTTTTGTTGCATTTATTTCTTGCTCCTCCCTCCACCCCACCCTGCAGCTTAAGATAATGTGTGCAGGATTCCCAATCAGTCTCTTATCCAGGCACTGAACAAACTCAAACCCATTTAGCAATCACATCACTCTTCACCAGCCTGATGCCATCCTCATAGTTTCAACTGCAACCTCCAGAATTTTGATTGTTGATCAGGCTGCCCAATGTTGACAGGGCACCAATTTGGAGATGGCTTTGCTATATCCTGTGCCTTCAAATAAATTTTCCAAATTATGGCATTCTGTTCAGGATCCAACTATCATGCAAGTTTAAGTATAATGGCATGAACTAAATATTACTACTGCAACTGATTTGAACAAATGCCTGTGCTACTTGAAGAGACCCTGCTAGAACCACAAGTCTCAAAGATAATTTTGTTTATTTTTGTTTTACCTATTTTTAAAATGTTTTAGTATTTGCCATACACCTGAATAGAGACAAGTTCTAAGTTAAATTGTATAGCAAGTCTTAATAGAAGAGATTTCCTGATGATAATTATACTAAATACTCCCAGTAGCAACATTTTGTCTAAAACTTATTTTCTAAATGATAATGAATGTATTCCAGTTACCCACAAATGAATTTCTAATTACCTCCCTATTCTAAACTATGTTAAATGAGTGAACATTATCATCAGCAATTTATTCAATTCTATTTCTTAACCAATCTTCACTAGATAAAACACCTATTTTTCTTTTAGACACTATAGCAATCTGGCTATCAAGTCTATCACCATTTCTTATTCACTTCTCTTGTATAAACTTGTATAAATCCTCCCAAAAAACCAATGGACCTTTAACTTATCCTGTTATCACCAACCAATACCGCAATTACATCTTATCAACAGCAAACACAGATAGGGCATGTACCCCACAGTACAACTAAGTGCCTGAGATTGTTTTTGTATGAAAACAAGGTCTTCTGTTTATTATCATCTTCTGAAGCTCATTATTTAGCAAAAGATTTGCTTTTTAAAACAACTATCACTCTCATGTGTTAAGACAATATAAAATGGCACCAGCCCATTCTATTTATACCTGCAGAGAAAGTGAACACCTTCACAAAAAGCAAAGTCATGATCTAAAATGGACTATTTTTGTTCAATTCTTTGTCAACCAATACAAACATAACATTAAAGCATAATTTTATCAGCCTTCTCTAAGCTGGTCTCCTGCAGATGCATTGGAGTTGTAGCACAAAATATCTGGGGGGCATCAGGTAGGAAAAAGCTATAGATCCTGTAACACCAAGATCCTGTAAAGATCACAAAATACTATGCAAAAATTTAGGCAAGACCATATTCATAAAACAAACCAACAAACAAACAAAACCAGAGAAGCAACGTATCAAATATGTGTCCATCCACGGGGTGGTGGAGACTGTCAGACCTTAAAAGCTACTTGAGGAGTGGGGGAGCTGCAAGCTCCTTTTTCACAATTTCTGGAGCAGAAGTAAGCAGCCTCTTTATAACCGCAGGCACATTTCCAGATTGAAAATGTGTTAACATGTATTTCCTGCCCCTGCAAACTCAGCAGTGCTTACCTCCTACTTTGCCATTCAGAAACAAAGGAGTTCTTGGGGCAGGAGAAGCGGTGGCAAGGTTGCAGCAGTGGAAGGAAGAGGACAATGCAACAGAGTCCAGCAGGAACACACAGGGGTCCTGGGGGACACAACTGGGCTCATGGGTGCTGCCTTGTTACAAAGTTTCAAGGTTCCACCAAACAATAGTACAACTATTGTTGAAAAAACAGTTTACAACAATGGCATATTAATGAAGGACTAAGCTATGAAGCAAGAAGACTCAGGCTGGAATCTTGTTTCTGCCATGAGCAATCTAGGTGGCCTTAGGCAAGCGATGCTTCCTTCAGTCTCCATACTCCAGCTGCTGTTCGCTCATAACTTACAGACAAGTTTATAGATTGATAAAACTATGTATGTGAAGCATTTAGAATACTCTGAAAATACTATACAATTGTTAACTATGACAACTCTCTATACACCCCTGAAGCTGCTAATGCATCACATAGTCCTTGCACCCCCCAAAATGTTTAGAGGACAAAAAGACAGAACTCCTATTTCCCCTGTAAGCCAAGGACTGGAAAACCCTTTCCAGTATAATGGGCCTACCTGGGGCTCCTGTAGCCACAATCAGGGCAAAGCCCTGTCCTGGAACGAACAGTGAGCCTATGTATGTGCAAAAAACCCCAGCATGATTTCTTCACCTAACCACATTCATGGGTCCTTCTCAGAGCCACAGTAGCCACACAGCTGCCTGATGAATTGGGAAATTTGGACTCCAAAAACGGCTGCCCTTGTCAAATCCTTTCCACAAATGGGATCATTTGAACTGCCTGGCAGTATGGTCAGGGAAGACCAGGCTGGCACACTGACCTCCATTCTGTACTTCTCCTTGATTGCTGACCACACGGTATCCTGGAAACGACTTGCGTCCACCTGCAAGGTGTTGTCCAGCAAGGTCTGGAAGAGCAAGAATCACATTTTACTATCACATGACTTCACATATTCCAAGGCTGAACCAAGTTCAAACTGTGGGTTGGTTTTAGTCTCTTATAACCTGCCCAGAGCCTACGGAAATGGGGTGGTCTATAAAAATTTAAATAAACAAATTAAGTACCAAGCGTACTTAATGAATTTTGGAAAGACAACACAGCAAGATTCCTCTCAAGTCAACCAGGCTCTACTAGGTCACTTACGGTAAGGAACATGAAAAGAACCCTTTGGGATGAAAACAGAGGTCCATTCAGACCAGCACTCTGACTCCAGCTACAGCAGCCAAATCCTTCTAGAAAGCCCCTATGGATAATATAACCCAAGAAGCACCATGATCTCTTTGCATTTCACCAATGTGGTAAAACTAAGCCACGTACCGTAGTTAACACAAACAGGATCAGATTTCAATTTTGTTCTACTCTTCTGTCAGGCAAAGATAGCAAGGCTAAGCAAAAGAGGAAGACTTGTTTAAAAAGGTGAATTTCATGCGAGTTTAGACAGAAAAAAGGCCTATAATTCTCAGCATGCTGGGAGTGGTAGGTATTTTTTCTGTCTAAACTTGTATTAAGTTGGGCCCCCCAAACCAATGTTTGCTGATCTTTTACCCATGTCCTAAAAACACAGGCTCTCACTTCTGAAAAGGACATGGGATCATGTTGCTCTGAGCAGCTTAATTTTGTCTGTGGGTACTTCACTAAATTATGAGACTCAAGGAGATCAGATAGGATATTTTGCTTGCTAGAATCAAATTAAATGTTGACTGATTTCAGTAGCTAGCATAGTGCAAAGCAGAAGGCTTAATGGGAAACTTAACATTGTGATCCTATGCTTGTTTAGCTTGAAAAAATGTCTTCCCACTCTCAGCAACCCCCAGCCAAACAAGTGTTACAGAGCTTCTTCCTGTCTAAAGATACATAAGAATGTACCCCTAACAATGTTAAGAGGGACTATGAACTATCCAATTTTGGTAAGCCCTGGCTCTGAGCCAAAGTATGTCAATTCGGAACCATACAACTCTGAACTCTGTTGATCTCTGTGTCCTGAAGCCTAGATACAAGCAAGGTTGTACCACAGAGAAGTTCCCTAAAGCACAGGATAAAACTAGCCATTCTGATAGGATCTTCAGTGGACTTCTGCATTTGGTAACTATTCAGAGTCTGCCTGTTAACAGAGAGAAAATTATATACTTGATTTGCCGTCTTAAGAGATTTTCTCAAGCAATTCAAATAAAAGTCATGTTGCAGTTTAATTTAATGATATGCATTCAGATAAAAAGTAGTCATATTAGTGAAAGCCACTAGTTATTGTTTTATATTATGGGCTCTGAATATTTGAGTATACCACTGTTTTAGCTGTAATATTATATATCTATATCTATATGTATAGAGGTTTTGTTTTACTTATATCTGTGAACTGCTCTGAAAGGGCCATTGAGCTAATGAGTCCAACACATCTGTAGGTACCAGGTTGAAGAAGGCTGAGCTAATGGAACATCCACTTGTTTTTGACTAAAATCAGACAGAAGTGTGTTGTGTTATTGCATTCCTTAGATAAGTGCTAGAATAGCCAACAGGTACTTGAGAACAGCATGAAGACAGTAGTCCTCCCAGCAACTGCAAGCTCCATTGAGTCAACATAGGTGCCAACAGTACTATGCATTTCAAATGTGTTCAATCCTCATTTAAATAATTTAAGCTAGTGGCCAGCACCACATTTCGGGGGAGTGAACCCCCTATAATCAGACTTAGAAGTCAAACTCCTCCAACCTGACAATTGGCCATGATGGCTGATGGTTACGGGAGTCATAGTCCAAAATCTATGATGGCACCAGGTTGTCTACCCTTGAAGTAAAGAGATGTTCCCAGTATGTGGAACACTCTGAGCTGTGCAGGGCTGGAACAGGTATTACACTCTCTCTGACCACTCCTATCCTAAGAGTTGCTACCTTACATCTGAATGTAAACCTTGTAGGTTCATAATAGGTTAAACGACCTATAGTTAACCTTGTTTGGCCCACAATAAATCTTTAAAGTCAGGGCTGAATATTCAAAATGACCATAGAACTTGTCCAGTACATGCTGCATTAAGTGCAAACAGTCCTTAAAAGTAACACCCTTTATCACAAAGAGCCAGATGGAATCTTCTGTGCTTAAAAATCAGTTTCAAAGATTTGTTCCCATGAACTAATCAATCAGATTTAAGCATAATAAGGAATTCTTTTATCACAACTGATGTAACATAAATTTGAAATTGAGCACTGAACGCCAAATTACTTGCTTAAGTTTTCAAGACAAAACTTTCCAGTAAAAATGGTGGGAAAGGACTGGATTCCACAGCTTCAAAACCCTAATTCCAGAAATGGGAAAAGTTCTGTACATCCTTACTTGACCACCCTTTTCCTTTAGGAAAAAGAAGAAGTATAACTCTTGCAGCAAGCTGAGACTCATGGAAAACTGCTCTATGATGATAGGAAGTGGGTGGCATAGAGAGGTGGGTGGGGCTCACTCCAAGTCTCAGTCCATCAACTAAGCAGCAGCTGCCTCTGCTGTTCTCTATATACTAACTCAAATCTGAATCATTCTGGTAGAGTCATAAGAACTCTCTATGAAAGCTTCCATCCTCTACACCAACCTTTCCAACTTGTTGTCCTCCAGATGTTCTGACTACAGCAACCCTCAACCCCAGTCAGCATAATCAATGGTCAGAAATGCTGCCCACTCAATTCAGATCACAATATCCCACAGAGAGCAGAAACCTATACAGCAAATACCACTTGGCAACTAAAGCCAGATTGCCAGGCAGCAAAGACAAAAGAAGGCAACACCTCCAGGAACTCACATGCCTACCCTAGGTGTTTTAATGCCAGGCAAATCCTAAGTAGAACGAGCCTTCTTCTGCCACCTCCCCAAAAGTCTTCACTGGATGCAGCTTTATGCCACTTTATATCCTCCATGCCTCAGCCAACAATCATAACTTTTCAGCCAATATAGCACAAAGAATATTCCCATATTGCACTGAAGAACACCTAAAAGTTTTTGGACTAAGAGGCAGGCAAAATGTAGTTTCCAAGGCACTTTTGGGAAGACCCTTTAGAAGGATTCTGGCTGTCACTTAAATATCTTTTTCTAGTTTTCAGAGCCAAAACTCTGACTTGTGAGTGTCATGAGCAGTAGATCAGGAAAGAGAAATGGAAGAAAAAAAGGCAGGTTGCTTACCTGTAACTGTCATTCTTCGAGTGGCCATCCATGCATTCACACATATATGGGCACTGCGCCTGTTTCCAGGAAGGTTTAAGAGCTTTAACAGTTTTCGGCAGGAACTCCGCGCCCTCCCTGCACCGTACTATAAATGGTCGGAGTGCCCGCCCTCTTAACAGTCAGCTGAAGACCGTCCATTCACCCCCAGGTAGAGCTGGTCAGCCCAACCTACTTCACAGGATTGTTGTTGTGGGGATAAGATGGAGGAGGAGATGTAAGCTGCCTTGAGCCCTTTGTAGGAAAAAGGCAGGATATAAATCAGAAAATAAATAAATAAAATAAGTGTAATGAGAGTAGGAACTGTAGAATTTCTCAATGGTGGCAGATTGAGATTGGTTAGCAGCAGCAAAGGAGGTGAAGCGCTTCCATTTGGCATTATAGGAGCATTGTGTGTTCGGTTGTAGCACAGATTGAAGAATTAACTGAAAGTCCAGGTGAAGATCTGTTGGATTTGAGGCAGATGTCGGTACCAGGGTCGGTACCGAGAGTAGCTGCGGCTTAGAAGCCACTGACGTCATGGAAGTAATTGTAAATAATGCAGACTTCAATTCTGAAAGAGATGTATTTGTCGAATCCAAAGGGGCTGTTGGTACCAAAGAAGCAGAAGCAGACGATTTCGAAGATGACGACGGATAAGCAGTCAGTGTATGAGCCAAGCAGTGAGACTCAGGGATCACAGGTCTGGATGACGTATAGCACCTTGCTCTTGAGTGAGAAGGTGAGGTATTTGAGGTAGATGGAGAAAGTCACGGCATGATAGCTGAAGAAGAGTGGGGAGCTAGGACTGGTGGGGCTGCCATGGATTGATAAGAATTCTGTGAGTGTTGTCTTGCTGGATCTTAGCTATAGTCCTCATTACTAGCAAGATTGGAGGGAATGCGTAAAAGAATTCACTGTCCCATGAAATCATGAGCACATCTCCAGTCAAGTCCAGACTGATGCCTGCTCTGGAGCAGTATGTCATGAAGACGGAGTTGTCCTGAGTCACAAACAAGTCTATGGTCGGTGTTCCCCACAGTTGAAAAAGATGGTGACAGACCTGCCGATCTAGCTCGCTATGTATGTGCCTGCTGAGGGAGTCAGCTTCCTCACTGTTGATGCCCGCGAGATGGACAGCTTGAGGAGTGATCCTGTGGGCAATGCACCAGTTCCATATACGGTGTGCTAATGGTACCAATCTCATTCCACCCTGCTTGTTTTTATAGAACATGGTCACAACGTTATCCAATGCGATCTGGACTGTGTGGTCATGTAGGATGGTCTGAAAGGAACGTAGTGCTTTGAAGACCACCAGCAATTCCAGGTAGATGATATGCCTGGTGGTCTCCTGTCCATGCCAGGTGTCTTGGGTTCGAAGAGATGTGCAGTGGGCACCCCATCCAGTCAGGGAAGCATCGGTATAAAGTGTCATGGTCGGTTCCAGTGCACGGAATGGTACTCCGCAAGAGAGATTGGTATTGATAGTCCATCAGGATAGAGTTCGGAGGATTGAGTGCGTAGGTTGTAATAGCTGGTTTGGTCAATCATGGTCCGGATGAAATTGCGATTGAACCACAGCTGCAAAGGTTGCATTCATAGTCTCACATTTGGCACCATTGATACTGTGGACGCCATATGACTGAGCATCTGTTGAATGGAGTGTGCAGAGACAGTCCGTGGGGCAGTGATCCGTTGAATAGAGGTTATCAGTCTTTCCTGTCGGTCCTGAGATAGGAAGGCTCATGTATGAAGAGAGTCCAGGCATGATCTGATGTAGTTGATGACCTGAGAGGGAATGAGGCATGATTTTTCAGTATTAATACAAAGACCCAATCAATCAAGCAGGGAACAGGTGATGTCGATCGAAGTCAATAGGTCATCTCTAGAAGAGCAGACGATGAGCCAATCATCTAGGTACGGGTAGATGTGGATACCCTGCAGCCTGAAGTGGGCACATACAGGAGCCATGCACCTTGTAAAGACTCTTGGGAAGAACTTTGTATTCATAGGCATCGGTACTGACAGTGAAATGAAGGAGGTGGCTGTGAGCTGAAGTGGAAATAAGTGTCTTTCAAGTCCAGAGAAGCAAACCAATCCTCTTTCCTGAGCAACAGAAGTATGTTCTGGAGCATGGTCATTCTGAATTTTTTGATGTATTTATTAGTTTGGATGTATTTATTAATCCCATGTAAGTCCAGGATGGGGCGAAGACCCCCATCTCTCTTCAGTAGCATAAAGTACCTGAAGTAGAAACCGTGCAATCCTTCAGAGCAATTAAGTTTATGAATCGCTCCCTTACAAAGCAGCTCAGCGACTTCTTCCAGGAGGACTGGAGAGGCTGCTGTATATCGGATCAGACCTGAAGGCGGCTCTATGATGGTAAGAACCCACCTATCAGATGTGATGGACTCCCAGATGGGGAGTCAACTTTGCAGCCGATCCCCAAAAGGGAGAGGGGAAGGTGGGTTAGAGGATACAGGAAAGGTTTGCACATCCCATCATCATGGACGCTTGTTGGCATCAGTTGGCATCAGCTCGGTAGCGTGGCACATTCTGTCTTCAGGTCCGAGGCTGTCTTTGCCTGAATTGCTGGCGTCCAGTGGGGTATGACTGGTGGTAGGGTTGGAAGAGCTGGTAATGAGGTCTGCTCCATGGCCACTTACATCTGGGTTGTGACGAGTATTCCATCCGTCAGCAGTCAGGCGAGTTTTTTGAATATACTACAACTTGTCATCGGTCTTTGAATGGAACAAGCTGGAATTCTCAACCCTCTGTTTGGTCTCTAGAGGCAGGTTGCCTGCTCTCAACCAAGCATGGTGGTGAAGGGCTATGGCACTGATGAGAGCCCTAGAGTCGCAATCGACATGATGCCTCACCGTGCTGAGTTATTGCTTCGAGAGCTGCACTGCTTCCCCAGTGAAAATGTGAGCTGGCTCCCTTTGCTGGTCAGGGAGGAATGCAGCAAGGGAATTGATCTTTTGCCATAAAAAGTTTTGATAACAGACCATTGTGGCCTCATAACTGGAGATGCATAGACTGAGTCCCATTGCGGTGTAGATCCGGCAAGACATCATGTCAATTTTGTGACCCTCTTTGTCCAATGGCATAGTGTTCTATTGACTGTCTGCTCTGAGTAGACTCAATGATGATTGAGTTCGGTTGGGGATGCTTCAGGAGAAATGGTCTATCCTGCTCCTGAACCTTGTACATCACCTCTAGATGTTGAGAGGTAGGATGGGGATGGTTCGGTAACTGCCAGGTGTCAGTCATTGCCTGCCGAAGGGTGGTGATGAATGGTAAGGCAATAAGCGTTGAATCTTCTGTACGAACCACATAATATATACTGTCTTGATTCATGTCGATGCACTGCTGAACATTGATTTCAAGCGATTTAGTCATCTGTGGCAGCAGTTTGGAGAAACAACCTTGGGAATTGCCTGGAGAACCGGGACCTTGGGTGATGGTGTCAGGAGAGGTAGAGATCTGTTGAAGACTCCCCCGAATCCAAGTCGGATTCATACAGTGGAATGGATGATGACCTGTCAGGAGATGTTGGTGGACGGGTGAGCACTGCAACCAATGTTGATGGGGTGTCCCTTGACACCGAATGAGGGGTGAAATGATGAGGACGCGTTGGTGGTGGAGGATAGTATCCATATGGGGGGGTAGAATCCCATGGATAAGGTTGTTCCATGTGCTCAAGGTTGAATTCTCCATAGGGCAAAGGCACCCAGTACCGCAATGGTTGTTGTGTGGAAGGCTGGGGTGGTAAGATGGACAATAGGTGCTGAGGAGCCCTTGGAGAACCCTCTGGAGATGACTGCCCAGCAGGCATAGGTGTTGGCGATCTCGCAGGCAGGAGGTTGGGTCCTGACTGGAATGGAGATTCACTGATTTCTCCATCAGAAATGGAAGCTCGAGCCAATGAGTCAGAGTGCTCGGGACTGGAGTGTGGAGAGATGGTGATCTGCGGGGGTGATGCTGGAGGTGTCACCTGCATAACCGACTGGCAGCTCAACAGCTTGGTTGGTACCAAGGTAGGCACAGCACTTGGTTCAGAGTGAGGCACTTTGTCACGCTTTTGTGCTGACGCTCATACTTTTTGGGTCTGTCCTTTTTAGAACGCTTCAGTTTCGAGGGTTCCTCGAACCCAACATGCTTCCTCTTCTCCTTATGTTTTCGTGGAGGAGAATGAGAGGAATGCTTTCCATCCATACTGGCTGAATCCCATTCAGATGGATGAGAGAGGATACTTTCAGAAGGTCCTGGAGCCACTGAAGAGCCGGTCTCCACTGAGACCTGCTTCATGGTGACCAAAGCTTGCTCCCACACCATCTTGCACAGCCGGTTTTCATGGTTTTTGCGCACCTACCTGGTAAATGACTGGCAGTGGCTGCATTTGTCAGTCCTATGACCCTCTCCGAGGCAGAGGAGACACAGAGTATGTGGATCAATGGGAGACATTTTGGCTCCACACTGAGCGCGCTTATGAAAAACCACCCAGTGTGCCATCGAGGAGAAAAGAGGAAATACAGCAAATGGAGATAGGTATGAGAAGTTAAGACGATAGAAGTGATGTGGTGTGGTGTGGTGTGTGTGTGTGTGTGTGATTTTTGATTGGAAGGGAAAGGGGGGAAGGGAAAAGGGAATAAAGCGAGGGGTTCAGTAAGGGCGAACAACGGGTAGGGTTAGATTGAAAGGTGGAAAGAGTGAAGTAAAGAGTAAGAAGTTTAAAGTTTAAGATTTATAGAAGTAACAATGCAAAGACGAGGAGACAAACAAAAAGGTCCGAGGCATGGCAAACGGTGCTCACAAGCAGACTGGTGAGAGGGCAGGCACTTCAACCATTTATACTACAGGGGTGAGGGCATGGAGTTCCCGCCAAAAACCGTTAAAGCTCTTATAGCTTCCTGGCAACAGGCACTGCACAGGTGCAGCACCCATATGTGTGTGGTACACAGAGACCATGATGAAGAAATAAGCCTTCTGACCTGAGACATTCATATTGATTCATTTAACTATGAGGACACATTTTACTACTGCAGGAGTCAAATGTGCCCTTTGTAGACACAGTTATCTAGTTCTATACTTGCTCCAAGTCCTTACTACTTACTTACTACAAAAGTAATGATGGTGAACTCTCAAAGGGAAAGGATGGATCAATTCAATGAGGGAACAGCAGGTGTTTTTGACACCATTATTAAGAATTAAAAGGTGCCACTTCTCCTGCAGCCCATACCAGCTGGTGGATATAAATGCCACTCTTCTGAAAAAGCACACAAGACAGTTTTTCAGTGCTTTTTCCAGGAGAGTGTCAAGTTGAATATCAACTTCCATAGGAATTTCCATGGCTAGGTGTACAAAACACCCTTTAAGGCATTTGACAGGAGCTGGAGATAATAGTACCACAATTTATGTAAATCAACATCATAGCCAAGACATTTTAAGAACTCCAGGGAAAAAAAAGTAAAGTGAGAGGTATGTACCTGTTGATTGTAGGTTTGCATGAAGGACTCATGTAAACTTCATGACCATATGCACACTGGCCTTGGCTCCCAGAAATATCATCTGTTTCTGCCCTACTACTTAGGAGTTGAACAGACCAGTTTCAGCTGCAATAAGGTTCAAGCACTGAGAGAAAGCTGCCTTACCCAAAGCCAGACCACAGAACCAGCTATTCTAAAACACCAACAGTTAACAGCTCTGCAGGGCTGCAAGCAGAGCTCCTTCCTGCCCTTCACTCAAGATGCTGTGGATTGAACCTGGGACTTTCTGCATGCAAAGCAGCTCTGCCACAGATTTATGGCCTCTCCCAGCCCCCCGCCCCCTCAGCTTTATGGCATCCTCCTGAGGGCAGAAATGTCCAGAAAGAGAGGTAAAGAAGCACACATAGGACAAAGGATACTGGTAACAGCTTAAAGAAAGGTAGAAAAGGGGAAACAGTAAGGTGGAAAGGAAGCAGAAAGAACCAAAAGGCATGAAAAGCCTTTGATATGGACAGTCACCAGGAAAAGGAGAACCATGGAGAGCCAGTAGTGCTAGTAGAAGAACAGCTTTTTCCTACAAGTACATGTTTCCCATCATTGTACCTGGGCTTCAGTTTCTGACAGGATCCCATCGCCATCCACATCCAACTCAGAGTGTGTCTGAAGTTCAGCAATAGACACCCTGAAGACACAGGAGCACAGACAATTAGGGTGGCAGCCAAATCTTCTGAAATTGTAATAGCAATACCTATGCCAAGGACATTTTGGGTTCCAGTGATTCTCAGTTTTAAGAAAAGCAAGCTTTCAGCTCTTATTAGTGCTTGAAGGCTTGCATGACATCTCTTGGGGATGCTTTAGGAATACAGTGTCTTACCTTAAAAAAAAAAAAAAAACACTAAGCCTGGAAACTTGCTCCTTCCGATTTCCCTCCCCAGCTCTGCAGAGGTTCTGGTAAAAGTAGGCAGAGCTTAGAAGTTCTCAGTCCAATGACTTCATTCCCATAATTCAAAGAAAAATGATATACAGAGCATTCTCTAAGAGAGCCTTGAAAATTGCTCCATTTTCCTATTTAGATGTTGCTACTCAGTTAGAAACCACACACAGAAACAAGTTACTACCTTACCAATGCAGCCCTTGAGAGAGCAATTATAAATACCCTTCCTATATATGCAGCAAAGTACAAGCAAAGTCAAGGTTTGAGTAAATCATTAATTTGACACCAAGACAAAAAAGGATCAATAGTAGTATCAGGATCAAGATGCCTTGACCACATTCACTGGAATAGAAAGCAGTCCAGTAACTCAGACAGGGATAGCGTTAGACTCACATTCCATCTAGGTCATCATCCAGCTCCCGAAAAGCCTCTTCTGCTTTGGCTTGATCTCTTGCTGCTCTTTCAGTGGCTTTTTGTTCTGTTGCAAAGTAAACAGATAACTAGGAATTTTTAATAATAAAAAGACTTACCAGACACAAGATCTCCTACTTTCTCCAGCCACTAGAATAGCATTATATATGATTTCTGTATGAACTCAAACTACTTGAATCGTGCATCCCAAAGGGTCACTAAGAAAAGAAACATCCACACATGCAACTGTACCTAAGATCTACTGAAAGTACACATACCAGTCACAAGTTATGAAAAACAAAAAGAAAATGCAGACAAGTTATGAAAAACAAAAAGAAAATGGAGAGACATACACAATGTTTACTTGCTTATTTTTAGCGTATAAGATCCAACACTGGTGGTTATTTCAGCTCATTCCATGACCACACATAAAAATATGAAAGATTTTATTGGAGTTCTTATAAAATTTCAGGAAGACACAGTTGCACAAGACTGAATTCTTGAACAGTCATTAAACTTTTTTTTTTTTTTAACCATTGCAAATGCTCCTTAGTAAAAGCTATGCCCATAAGAACAACCCTGCTAATGCAGATAGGCCAATTCCTCAAGACCCTTCCCTCTGTGCCCATCATGATTGTCTGAATGGTGACAAAAAGAGAATGGACATTTTCTGCATTAATCCCCACCCTGAAATATAGGATGCATCCTTCAGAGAAGTTTGCTTTATGCAGACTCTGTCATACTGCAGTGCCTGCTAAAGAAATTGCTCTTTACCTGAGCATTTGAATAGATTCAAGCAGCCTTCACAACTTGGTGGTCTCCATGAATTCAGCTCCTACCAACTCCAATCAGGAGGGTCAGTATCCTGAGAGTTATAACTCAAAACACTGGGAGGACACAAGGCTGCAGACGTGTAGTTTTAAGGATCCAGCCTTGATGATTATTTCAGCGGTTCTTTCTTATACTAGGTAGGGGATGTCTTTACATTATCTTTGAGCTAGACAGTTTGAGTAAATTTCCCCAGTTTTCATGAATATACTATTGCAGTCCTATATTTCTGGCGAATTGTTTGAGACTCCTTTTTAATTAAAAAGTATTAAAAACCGGCATCCCATTTCCAACAGTGATCAAGCAGATAATTTTAGAAAGCCAAGCTAGAACTGACAGTAATAGCCCTGTGCCACTGTTTGCGCTCAGTCCAAGAGCAATTCATATTCAGAGGAATCTTGCCTTGCATGCATTGAGCAGCATCCAGGGTCGATGCAGCACCAGTGCTGACATAGCACTATCACAGATCAGTGCTGGTGTAACATCATTAGCATGTGCTAGAACAAAGAGAAAAAGCAATTTGCCACTGAAATTTGGCAGCAGTGCTACCTTTTGGCAGCACATTGCCACTTTCCTCCTTTGCACTAGTATTAGTTTTCACTAGCACTATCTTATTAGCACGATCTCAAAAAATGTTTTCAAGGGCTATTTATTTTGGAAAGTTTTGGAAAAAATGAACAGCCTTAAAATCTTTCATAATTCATTTTAGATTGATGAAGAAGTATTTAAGATAAGGTGTTGAAATATTCTTATTCAGATTTGCTCCCTCACAAATGGTTTCTGAAAGCTATGGAAGAAGGCTACTTTTATAAAGAACTACAGATATAGCCTTTCTGGGAAGTTTTTTAAATTATCTGTAAGATTCCCAATGTATTTCTTCCATTCTTTATTAAAAGTAATGATCCAATGTATTTCTTACTAATAAACATCCTGAGTTTGGATGCTCCAAAGTCATGTTGGCTTTCCCAGCATGTGAACTGGGAAGAACCCGGAAGAAAATGTGCATTCTGGGCTAGTTTTGTTTAAATGCTGTAGGAGTCAATTAACTTAGTTCTAATCTAATACCTAAGAGTTAATGTGGCATTATTGTTAGAATGACAGACCAGGGAACTGAGTTCCAGTACCCTTCTAGCCATGTAACTCACTGGGTTACTTTGGACAAGTCACTCTCAGCCTCACCTACTTCACAGGATTGTTGTTGTGAAGATACAATGGAATTAAAAGTGTAATCCACTCTGGATTGTTCACAAGAAAGAAAATTGTGGGTTGTAAATGTAACACAGCAATACCAAGAAGAACATGAAATGCTCTAGATTATCCTACCACTCGCACCAGATACAGGTGGGTTATCTGAGATTTTTTTTAAATTAGCTTTGAGGCTGGAGTCTACAGAACTCACTGCCAGAAATTTTAAGTTCTCAGTTAGTTCTTTGACCACTAGGAAATACTGCCAATAGAATAAATCCTCTCTACCTAAAATAAAATTAGTAGTTTGATTTCTATGGTATAGAAATGAGATTGTCACCTTCAGGCACCTTTCATAATGAATAAAAATAAGATATTCCTTAACAAAAAGTATTTTGCAAAAGTAAATAAAATTACATGTTTCAAATAATGGGTTGAGATTGCTTAAATGTTCTTAAATTAAATGCACCTGCTTATCGTTCTTAAGCTGAGCCTTTCCAAGAAAAATATAATCTCAGCAGTTTTTCCTTCAAGCCAGATTTCCCTAAGCTCCATTCCACAAGCAGAAACAAGTTTAGGAATTTCCCTAAACCTCCTCACAACAGAAATACACATGGTACTCCACTACTTCCTGCTTCTGGCTTCTAGAACAATTCAGGCATTAAAGAGAAAACTTGCTTTGGTCAGACAAAAAAACAGGAACCTAGAATATCTTAATGGTATCTTGGTATGCTCATAAAATCCTCTTATTACATTTAAGAGTATAGTTTATTCAGAAAAATACTATTTTACTGTGTTTACTTTTTTCAAGTTTTTAACATATATCCTAATTTTATAAGCAAACCAAGTTATTTATGTTCCTATGTTCCTATATATTTATGTTCCTAAAGTGGCCTTCGCCAACTTAATATAGTCTAATACATTTGGAGACCACCACTCAAAAACCTGACTATTGAACTTGCTGCCTTGCTGGGTAAACTGAAGCCCAGAACACTTGGAAGGCCCCAGACTGATGCTGTCCAAAACCAAAATGACTTTAGAAAAAAAGGAGGTATTGCTGATTTTCAAAAAAAAATAAAATCATTTTTCTGAAAAAGCTTATTCCCATAGCTTCAACATTTCTAGAAACTGTTCATTTCTAGCCATGACAGGACATTACCCTGACTTGCTATCACAATCCATAGCACTAGAAATACCCCTTGCCTACCAAGAATTTGTCTAACCTGCTTTTGAAATTATTGCCCAAAGCAGTCTTCACTGCATTTTGTTCCATGCAATGAATTCCTTAAGCTAAATTATCCCACAAATACATGCACGTAGTCTCATATGACCCCGCCCAAAGTAACATGGTCCTTTTCTTCCTCGGTCCTTAAATCTACCTTAGCTGTGAGGACTGCTGAAGATGTCTAAAGTAGACCCTGTAGCAAATGCAATAGCCAGAATCAGCCCTGCAGGTATAAGAGATGTAAGTCTGCCCTCAAACAAACTACCATTTGGGACAGCACTTGCCCGCAAAAGAATAGTTTAAATAGTCAAGAGAATGGTCTAGATCAACTTTTTGACCAGGGGGCCAGCTGAAAGGTGCTGGTGCTGGGCGTGGGTCGGAAAGGAGATGCCAGTGGTGTGTGCGGGCCAGTGGGGGGGGGGGGGCAGCACGGGCATGCTGAAGTGGGGGCTGGGTGCGCAGCAAGGTGCTGGCAGGTGCGTGAGGCGAGGGGAGGCGAGGGGAGGCGAGGCCGCGCCAGGAGGCAGGCGCACAAGGCAGCAGTTTGCTCACTTGGAGATGATTTTCTCCGTGCGAGCAAAGTGCTGCCTCCTGCGCGCGGGGCAAGGTGGGCAGCAGCAGGCACACACGTGGGCGCATGTGCAGCGGGTCGAATGAATGGGCATGGCGGGCCGGATCCGGCCCCCGGGCCATTGTTTGAGGACCCATGGTCTAGATGAATGTTCATTCATCCAGGGAACATCTGCTCACCTGCTGGGCAAAAGAAAAGTGAGGGAATGGGGGTGTTGGTCTCCCTGATTGGATGTTGTATTATCAAGCTTCTGTTTTAACGTGGCTAAAAGAATGGATAACTTTAAGAAATAAAAGAAGCTTGTATTTTGCAAATGGGTTGGCACGCTTATATGTGGTATGAAACGTGTAAGGTACATGGTTGTTTCTTAAATCATTTTAGGAAATCATTAATGTTGGTGTGGGAAAAGTTAAAGATAAAACTGTACACTAAATTACCAAGGTGGTTTTCACCTATGGAAGCTCTTGTATATCCAAATGCATTGAATTTTGATACAATCGTGAGATATGATGATAGTTTGGATAATGATGGAGGATTAAAATTGAATCATGAAATACAAGAACAAGGAATTAATATTTCTTGGTTGCACAAGGTTCAAATGCAATCGAGATATGCTAAAGACTATAGAATGTGGGGCTTTTATAAGGAGCCAACAGCATTTGATCATGTGATTATTAAATCAGATGAGAAAATGATTAAAAGATTGTATAACTTCCTACTAGATAGAGAATGGAAGATGAACAGGTTAAGGAAACTATGATAACGTGGGCATAAAACTTTGGATACAATATTGAGTTAGAGAAATGGCAAAAGCTGTGGGAAATATTAAAGTAACATTAGCAACTTCATACAAAGAAAACCTGTATAAAATGTTTTTTAGATGGTATCTGTCACCAAATAGGTTAGCTGTTTCCAAACATGTTAAATGGATGTTGAAAATGTAAACATAAATCGGGTACTTTTTATCGTATGTGGTGGACATGTGATAAGGCAAAAAAGTATTGGATTAAAATACACAAATGGCTTGAGGAGATGTTACATAAACCTCTAACATTTAAACCTGAAGTTTTTTTATTAGGCATTGTACCCAATGATCTTAGTAAACAAGCAATGTATTTGACTCTACATGTAACCACTGCAGCGAGGATTGCATTTGCCCAGCACTGGAAGAGTAAAGAGCCACCTACCAATGAACTGATTCTAAAAAAGATCTTGGACTGTGCGGAAATGGACAGAATGACTTTGTCTCTGAAGGAGAATGAAGATACAGACTTCTATCAAACTTGGGACTCTTTTTATCATTGGCTAGAGAAATGGGACTATGCATAGACTTAAATATGTTTTTAGTTTAACATAAAAAGAAAAAATGTGGGGGACTGACCCAGTAGGTCTGATGTTATCGATGATTTATGCTTCTTAGTTTTTGTTTTGTTAGGTATATATTAAGAATAAAACTTATTCAAGAGAAGAGAAGAGAAGAGAAGAGAAGAGAAGAGAAGAGAAGAGAAGAGCGGGGATGCTTTCCCTGAGCGAAGCCAAATTCATATGTTTGCCACTGTTTCCCAAAGAACTCACCTCTGAGACTTCCCAATGTTGCCAATCAGCTTCTGTCAGAGGTACTATCCTTTAACAGTTAGGAAATCGCAATTTTCCCATTAATTCTTATATTTCCCTGCCACAGAACAATCAACTAGTCACCACAGTTTGTTCTCTCTTACACATACATTCACCTCTTTGGCTTCATCTCTGTAAAAGGAGGGCTGTAGGCTTGAAACCAAGGAGGCTCTCAGTGCCATCAAACTCTTCATATGGTACACTGCACTCACCCTCCCAGGCTTTCTGGTGGATCTCTTTGGCTTCCTTTTCAGGCTTTTCAGCAGCATCTTTCAGTGATTTCAGAACTTCCACTTGCTCCTCCACAGTTTTCTTGCTCTCCTGTAGCTCAGTTAGCTTTTTCTAAAAGGGGAGGAAAAAAAAGAAAAGAATGAAGCCACCTGAATACAACCCAAGGCCAGCCCTTCCCACAACAGCATCACAAGACACCAATAAGCACTTGCTTCAGCACCTGTGTAATCCAGTTTGGTCAAGGGCAGTGCAAGGGGAAGGGCAGCTTAAATGTTCATTGTGGGTATTGCTGAGAAATTGTTCTGTAATGCTGAGTAAACAGAAGATAATAGTAACTTCTGAAAATGCATATGGACAACCAGCACTCCAGAGACAGAGGCACACAGGGAGTGCAGAGCGGTTTCCCAGAAACAGTGAATGGTGAATAGAGTATCCCCTAAAATCTCCCACTTCTCTTTGAAATGTCCCATTTCCCAAGCAAATGCCTGCCTGTAAAGAGCTACTTCTCGGCTTCCTCAGTCCCTTGAAGAAGGACTCACAAGAATAGGATTGTCGAGCCTCACAGCTCTATTGGAAATGGGCATTGCTCCCGCCAACAAGCTGCCTGTTTCCTGTGCCAGCCTCCTCACCTGCTTCTCTTCTTTTCTCTTACTTGCTTCTTCCATCAGGGTCTTCTTGATTTCAAAGCCCTCCCTGGCCACCTCAGCCTTCTGCTTTAGTTCTTCCCGCTCCTTTCGTCCCATCTCTCTGAATGGAAGCATGGAAAGAGACATCCAGAGTTTAGCCAAATGCCATCTTCCAAATGAGGCCCCATTCTGGAGGGATAGGGGTGGTCAAGCTTGCTTCAGGAATACAGTCCATGGCAGAAGGCCAGAGCAACAACAGGCTGCAGCCCAGGCAATGCCACCATCACCTAGCAACAAATTTGAGTGCTAGCAGCCAAATATAGCTTTCAAATTAAATTAAATTAAATTAAATTGCTTTTCTGAAATGCTCTGTATTTGCAGGCACTTTCAGAATTGTGTGGTAGCAGGGTAAGAGCCATGGTAGCAGGAAGACTATTTATAAAAAAAATATTTTCTTCAAATACATTATGGGAATATGGTAAAATACTGAAGATACCAAAATATTACATTAAAAATTTGAAGACAGCAAGGTCTGTAAGAAGCAGCATAAAAATAATCCAAGTTGAGAGTGACACAGTATTTTATTTATAAATTTATTTATTAGATTTATAGCCCACCCTTTTTCTTATAATGAACTCAAAGCAGCTCTTTCTCTGAAAAGTCACATGACGTCAAATGCATTAGTTTAAGAAGGTATCCAAGGATTAGGCTTCTACTTTCCACTTGCTGCCATGCTTGTGCTTTTTCAACATTTTATTTTAACTGGTATCATTATTTTGTGGTTGTATATTGTGATGCCTATTCTGTTTGAAACTTAATGTTTGCAAGCTATATAAGATACCTAAATAGGATAGAAACATACAAAAAAGCCAAAAAATCTAGAATCTACTGGTGAGTGATTTGTGTTAGATTGGCAAGAGCTTCTAATTGTCTAACAATAACAAATCAAATTAAGCAGGTGAAATTGAGAAAGGGAGCTGTGAGCTTAATTCAAAAAAATTGGAAAAAAATCCTGAATATATGCTCAGATGGAACCTGTACCTTAGTTCTACTCTTCAATTGAAAGAGCATGACTTATCCCAAAGTGACTATTTTTCTTTTGGATCCAGCTGATGAATTTTGCATAGAATCACAGAGTTGGAACAGGCCTATACAGCCATCAAGTCCATCTTCCTGCTCAATGCTGGACTCCAAGTTAAAGCATTCCTGACAGAAGGATGCCCAATTGCTAATTGAATGCCTCCAGTGTGGGGGAGTCCACAACCTCCCTAGGTCATTGGTTGCAGTGTCGTACTGCTCTAACAGTCAAGAATTTTTTTCTGGTATTTATTGATTAGCCAAAGGCTCTCTGGGTGGTTAACAGAATTAAAAAGTAAACAATAATACTACCAACAACAACAAAAGCAATAAACCAATAAACCATTAAAAACAATCAATAAAACCAATAGAACAGTGATAGGCTAACTGCAGCGGCCACAATTAAATTGTGGAAGAGGCACAACAGCAGATAAAAATACAGTACAATGTTAAAACCAAAGTCAAAACCTTTCAATCATTAAAATATCTGGTGAATAAAAAATAAAAAGGTTTCCACATGGTGCCTAAAAGGAAAAAAGAGCAGGCACCAGGAATACTTCTTTGGAGAGCTCACACAGGGTGTCACCACAGAGAAGGCTCTTCTCCTGGTCACCATATTCTTTACTTCTGTTAGAGGGGGCTCTCTGAGAAGGCCGCAAAAGATGATCTTAGGGCCTAGATAGGTACATACAGGAGGAGGTGTTTCTTCAGATAACCTGGCCCCAAGCCATTTAGAGCTTTAAATGCTAGTACTAGCACTCTGAATCAGGCCTGGACTTCAACAGGCAGCCAGTGCAGCTACAAAAAGGCTGGCAAAATATGGTCTGCTGGGTCAGGCTAGCTGGAATCTGGCTTCCTGTGACCTGAGCCCATTATTCCATGTCCTGCGCTCTGGAATGATCAAGAAGAGATCCTGCCTTCCTCTTTAGGACAGCTTTTCAAGAAATCGAAGAAATCATATCTCCTCCTTGAGATAAGAAGGGTATCTCCTAAGTCTTCTCTTTTTGAGGTTAAACATGCCCAGTTCTTTCAATCACACTGGGTTTTGTTTCCAGCCCCTGGATCATCCTTGCTGCCCTCCACTCCAGCTTGTCTGCATCTTTCTTAAACTGGATGCAATATTCCAAATGAGGCCTAAACAGTGCTGAGTAAGGGGGAACTAGTACTTCATGTGATTTGGAAAAGATACTTCTATAAATGCAGCCTAAAGCAGAATTTGCCTTTTTTGCGGCTGTATCACATCATTGACTCATATTCAGTTTGCGCTCTAGAACAATTCCAAGAATCTTCTCACTTGTAGAATCCAGCAAAGCATCCCCCATCTTGTAACAATGCATTTGTTTCTTTTTCTTAGGTACAGAACTTGGTGTTTGTACCTGCTAAATTTCATTCTAACACACAAACATATACACAAGCAAACCACATGAGGCCAATGGTTGCCCAAAGCACACAGCTGCTGGACATTATGTGAACAACTGGGCAGGTTCACATAGCGATTTCCAACAGCAGTAATTTAAGCAAAGTTAACTGTAGTTTTCACACCTATGGACAACCATTCCATAACCCAACCCTGTTTGTTACTTGTTGTATCATCTCAGTAGGAAGAGGGTCCTTGGCATGGTTAACAAATCACCCACATACCTAAAACAGTCCATGGGTTCCAAGTGGTTTATTAACAGAACCAGCAATCCACTGGGTTCAGATGCCATAACAACCTACAAGCAGGGTTTGGTTATCAAATAGGTTGTGCATGCAGCAAACCATGATGTTTTCTTTAAACCACTGTGGTACCCTGCAAACTAATGCGATGAATCAACAAGGCAAATCAACAACATAGAAACATAGAAACAAAGCGAGTCAGAAGGGGCCTCCCGGGCCATTCTAGTCTGACCTCTGGCACCAGCCAGCTCCGCTCACGACATGCCCACCATGTGGACGTCCAGCCTATCCTTGAACAACCTCAGCCAGGTTAACATAGATTTTGTGTTCTGTGATTTATCCCTGAAATTACTTGTGCTTAAACAATAAAACTTGAGTGGATTTCTTAAGACTCAGAACCTAGGTTTCTCCTTCAAGCTATACAAACATCAGGAGCTGGTCCATGGGACCAACAGTTCACCATCAACTCCAATTTTCCAATCTAGTCCAGGCCCAAGTAGCCCTTCAAAAATGAAGATAAAAGTTTCCTGAAAGGTTCACAATTGTGACTTACTTGCAGGTGTTTTCACACACAATGCCACTGTTGTACTCATCGGTTGCATCACAGCAGTCTAAAAGGCAGATGACAAGGAGAGTCATTCAAATCAAGCAACTTGGGCTCAGCCAATCACAACTAGAGGATACTATTGCCACAAGGTAGCAAAGCTTACCGCAAATGCCATCATTGACGCGAGAGGAGGGGATATACTGAGGACGGTAGCCAGCATTGGAGCAGTGGAAGCGCCCATTGGGGCATGCAGCAGTCCCTGAGTAGAAAGAGAAGACAGCTGTGGGTATATTTAAAAATGGGGGAGAGGAAAGGAGAAGGAACTACTCAAAGGCAGGAAGAAATGTTCCTCTCTCTCACGTACAGGACATCTATAGCCCAACTATACCTCCCCATGTTCCCTCAATTCCTCCCCCACCTGCAGATCTGTGACTGGAGTAAATTAGGCAAGCCATATTTTCCTATATAGAACAGGTTTCTCTTATTTGTGCACAATGGACTGAGGAGCACAACCCTTGGTGTCATGGTGATTCATGGCAAAAAGATAAGAAATAAAAAACTGTGGAGAAAGTCTAAGATCTGTAAGTCACAGAAGTGGCTTACAAGATATTCCAGCTATTAAAATTTTTAAATAAGCCTACATACTCTGCTTTATGGCCTAAAGATATGTGTCAAGGTCAGATCAAAGCCATATAGAAATTTAGATCTCTACCCAAACCCAGAAGCAGCAACAACTGACTCAAACAACTTAATGCAGTTCCAAAGACCCTTTGCAGTCCCATGAGGCAGACTCAGGACTATCATTTACACACATGATTGGCAGGAGAATGTTCCAGCATAGGGCTTCCTAAGCAGAAGGCTAAGCACCAAGCAGCTCACCACCCCTACTGCCTGGTGCTTGTTATCCTTCTGCAGCTACCAGTTCTCTGGACAACCCTGCCTCAAGTTGAGAGCCAGGTTGTATACCCCTTCCCTGATAAGAACTGCAACATAGGCACAGATGAACCTGTGTAGTTTCAGATATCCTTCTCCCATCTGTGTCATTTATAATCCACAAGAGGAATCAATTTGCCATCTTTTGCACCTGAAGTACCACTGTCTGACTTGAGACCCAATTATTAAACACTCTCAATACCCAGACAAATATGATTAAAGGTGACTAATCAATGTTTATCTACTGAACAGCCATCCAGGGAGACAGAGCTGCTACACACTCCTCCTTCAAGCACATACACCTCATTTTTACAAGGGGAGAAAGGGAGGATATCAGTATCTGTCTACATGAAAATCTTGTCACAGAATGAAGGGATTACAACTTCCTTCAACACTGGCATATGGAAAAGATAAGAAGTGCTTATAAATGGGTAAATTATTGTTCTTAAGTTGCCATCAACCATTCTGCAAAATCACTCTGACTCCTCTGCCTCTTCCATCACACAAGAGTTGATCTTGCAAAAGCACAAAGTGCACCCAGAAATCATTCATAAACCTAAACAAAAGCATGGTATTCATTTGCAGTCTTGCCTTTCTGACTGACTCTGTCCCTTGACTTCTAGGAAGATTGCAGTAAAATATGTAGACTGAGATCCTCAAACTTTTTCAACATGAGGCCAGTTGAAAGGAGGCAGTGGTGGGCGCAGTCCGGTGAGGCAGGGGTGCCCATGGGCACGTGCAGCGAGGTGGCAGCTTGCTCACTCAGAGATCTCTCAGCGAGTCCAAAACTATCTCTGAGTGAGCAAGCGCGTGCGCAGCTAGGTGGGCAGCAGCGGTGGTAGGCACAGGGATCCCAAAACCTCTGAGGCGGGCCACATAAATGGGCATGGTGGGTGGATCTGGCCTGCAGGCCGTACTTTTGAGGCCCCATGGTGTAGACAGTATAAAGACATGCCTCCAAGTCCACAAAGCTTCAGTCTTATTGAAAATGGAATTGGGAAGTAATTGTATCATTCCCACTCTTTAACTCCTTTACATTCTCTGCCCCCTTTTCTGAAGAGAACTTTGAGACACTCACTCCATTTCTCCTACTCCGTCTTCAAGACAAACTGTCTTGCCAAGATTACAAGCAGAAACAAGACTCAGATTCAGCCCTATTTCATATGTCACTAACATCAAGCTTTCTGAAGATTGTATTGCCATGTGAGTGCTTAAAAATGCTTACAGATAGTTGAGAGTCATCTTTTTAACTGAAGCGTTATTCTCTCTTTTGTATTTAATTATTACATTTTTATACCCCCTAATAGCTGATGCTATCTGAGCAGTTAACAAAGTTCGGTTTTTAAAGTTTTGTGTAATGGAAAAGAATATTCCACTGTTGAGTTGGACACTACAATTGTATACATGACTACTCAGAAGTAACCCCAGTGAGTTCAACTAGACTTAAACCCAGGTAAGCACATATAGGATTGCAGCTTAAGATGATTAATAGGGATGAGAACACTAAAAAGTGATCTATTGCTACTTGTCAAATGCTGAAGGATGAGTGACCCAAACATCTAATTACATCACCAGCTATAAGGAGTAAGACTCACTTCACGGGGGCAGGATGTGTGAATGGGGCATATATGAATTAATACCTCACTTACCTGGCTCATCTGAGCCATCTTTGCAGTCACAGTAATCATCATTGACTCTGTCAAAAGCTATCATTGCAGAGCCATCTAGACAAGTGAATGGTTTTGATTCATCATAGAAGTGATGGTCTGTAAAAGACAAAAAGAGACAATCCAGCAAGGGAACGCACTGCACACAAATATACTAATTTAGAAAGCTATCAGAGCCAGATGGCCAATAAACCAAGCATAAGTGAGTACAGTACATCTTTTGAGTGGCAACCATGATGCTAATTAAATCACAATGAATTATTACCCCCTTGTGGAAAGTGAAACTAAATGAACAGAAGTCTTCCCCTTGGACACATGTGGGAAGGAAGTGTGTGAGTCAAGTGAAACCCCTAGGGCTCACTCCAGCTCATGCACAGAATGCTACATCTTTACTTGGCAGTATGTGTGAACCAAGCTGTTGACGATGAAAAAACTGAGAATACTCAGAGAATAATGAGAATTAGAAAATGCTTCCATCACTGTTCTACTTAGCAGTAAGGAACTTCAGAAGAGGAACCATCCCCTACAGGAAATAACTGTTGTCATAAGCACATGCATGACCTAATGTGTCTGAAAAATGGTACTTTTATCTTTTGTTTTGGGACCACTAAGAGGTGTAGTACTTAGGGCTGAGGGCAATAGTAGACCTAATGCACAAATGCCTCTATTTCTTTATCCATTACACTGACATTGTTGGCCTTTGCTAACGAACCAAAGATGCACTCAAAAATTAACAAAGCAAGTAGTTATGCCTGTTTCCAGCCTTCACATCAACAGAAACATGAGAATTTGCTTCCTGATGGAACACGAAGTTACCGGAGATTTTCAAACTTGCCACCTAGCTTCGTATCCAGAGCTAGGAACTCACTTGTTAGGGAGACACCTCGTGGACGCTTCACTTCCACTGCAGAAGCCAGAGCTGAAAGCAAGAGTACCGCTAGAGACAGAAGCAGCATGATTCATAAGCCAAAGCAGCAGTCTTGCCTGAGGAAAAAGGAAAATAGACAACATGAGACTATCTTTCCTGGATGAGATGGAAAAGCTCTCTATTCCGATAGTAACCAACCAGATGCCCATAGGAAGCCCATGCATGCAATAGCACTCCCTTCTCATGCTTCTCAGCAACCAGTATTCAGAGGCATACTGCCTTCATTGCTGGAGATATTATATAGCCATCTTGACTCAGAGCCATTGATAACTTTAACTCCAAAGAAAAGCTTCCCATTGCATTGGAAATAGGTGGAGGAAGATAGAAAATCCTTTTCTCCCTCTCATTAAAAATACAATTCCCTTCACATTTCAAGAATTTACTTTGAATTGTATTTTATTTTGCCAACTTTAAACCCAAAGCCTGGCCTCCATCTTCAAATTACCCTGTTTCAAAACAGAAACACACAACATTGGATGCCAGGCGGGAATGGACAGGTCTTTGCTAAGATTGTCCTAAAGGTCCCCATGAAACTCAGAGCATTCATTATAGAAGATGCTAACAAAGATGCTTGAAGATGCTAACAAAAACTTCTCCTTTAAAATGTAGTCATTTTGGTAATTTCACCATACTGTACATCTCCATGTTTTTACTAGTGGCAGACCTAAAATAAAGATCCATGCAGCAAGTTGTTATATATAGGTTGCAGTTAGAAGAAAGACTCTCTGTAGAAAGGCCCTGAGTGGCATTCCATAGTAAGTACATGCACTGCTTCAGGCATTCAGCTTTGCTTCACATCATTTTCCAGCCAGTTGTTTTATGTGGGAATGGGAAAAGAATTACATGCATGACTCCCAAGATTCTTCTGCCTTTACAGCCCAATTATGGTGAACCTGGCTTATACCAGCCAAGATTTGGCCAGCTGGACCAAAGACGAGGCAACCTGCTTTCTCCCCATATGGTTTGGAGTACAATACCCATATACTCTAATCACTGGTCATACTAACTGGGTCTGATGGGAGTTGCAGTCTAAATCATCTGGTAGACACTGTTTTAACTCCTACTCCTGTTTTAACAGAATGTTTTTATTTTTTATTTGCATTTATATACCACCCTAGTAGCCCAGAGGGCTCTCTGGATGGTTTACCAACAATTCTAACTTCTTGGTCAGACTTAAATTGCATAAATTCCTGGACAAACCAGTAGTTAAACATTTTGATTTTTTAAAATTAAAAATGATTTTTTAAAATTTTGATTTTTTAAAAATTAAGATAAATCAATTGTCTTTGAATTAATTTTATTAACATGCAGAAGAAACCTCAGCTAGTCTAAATTGATTGCCTTTCTGAAGGTTAGTTTCTGTGATTTGGAAGTTATCTATCAATGCACATGACAAAAGAGGAATGGCCCTCTTTGCTCATTTGTGATAATCCATGCAAGGGGAGAACTTCTAAATAGTTCTTTAACCAAGGATTTTAATATTTGAAACAATAGGTTAAGTTTGCACTCATTGCACTAATTTTCATCCATATTCCAATCATCTATTCCTACCCATACACACACTCTTAAATGCTCTGTTTTTCACACAGTTGCTGAACAGAGATTTCTTTGTAAGATAATATAATCACCAAGGAGAAAATGATGCTTAAAAGAATTCGCTTTTGACTTGTGTTTTTCTAATTTAATAGCTAACAGTCAAGACTGAAAGACTAGAAGATTTGAGGAGCATATTGATAACAACATCAAGGCCAACAATTCTTTAAATATATCAGAAGAAACAAAGCAGCTAAAGAAGTAGTTGGACCACTGGATGATAATGGAATTAAAGGAGCACTAAGTGGGGGAGAGGGGCTGAAGAGATTGCAGAGAAGCTGAATGATTTTTTTAAATTAGTCTTCACAGAAGAGTATGCAGAGCAGATACCTATTCTGGAAGGGAGTTGGAGGAATTATGGCAAATAGAAGTGAGAAAACATGAAAGTCTCAACCTTACGGAGAAACTTAAAGACAGTAAATGACCTGGTCCAGATGATACCTATCCTAGAGTTCCTTTAGAACTCAAACATGAAATTGCTGAACATCTTACAGAAATAATATGTTCCTAAAATCAATCTTTTTACCAGGGGATTGGAGAATGGCCAATGTAACATCAATTCTTAAAAAGGGATCTGGGGAATTACAGACTAGTTAGCTTAACATCTGTTCTGGATAAACTGCTTGAAAGCATTATTAAAGATAGAATTAGTAGGCACACAGAGGGACAAGCCCTATTGAAAAAGAATCAACATGGTTTCCACAAAGGCAGGTCCTGTTTTACTAACCTGTTGGAGTTCTTTAAAAGTGTTAATAAGTATGTAGACAGGGGTGATCCAGCAGACATTGTTTACTTGGACTTCCAAAAGGCTTTTGACAAAGTCCCTCCTCAAAGGCTCCTGAGCAAACTAAGTAGACATGGAACAAAAAGGTGTCCTCTTATGGATCACCAACTGGTTAAATGCAGAGGGTGGGAATAAAATTGAAATTTCTCCCAATGGAGAGATGTCACCAGTGGAGTCCCACAGGGTTCTGTAATTAGAACCAATGCTTTTCAACCTATTCATAAAAGATATAGAATTAGGTGTAAGCAGTCAAGTGGCCAAGTTTACTGATGACACCAAACTGTTGGCTCAGTGCACAACTACGGTGAAAAATGCAAATTCCATGCTAGGTATAATCACAAATGGAATAGAAAACAGAACTGTTAAGATCTTACTCCCCTTATACAACTCTTTGGTGCAACCACATTTGGAATACTGTGTTCAGTTCCAGTTGCCTTACCTGGAAAAGGGAATTCTTGAGCTGGAAAAACTATGGAGAAAGGCAAATAAAATGATCAAGGGGCTGAAACAGCTCCCTTAAAAGCAGTAGCTACAACAACCGGGACCACTTAGCTTAGAAAAAAGGTAACGGGAAATATTATAGAGATGTTTAATATGCATGGAGTGGAGAAAGTGGAGAATAAGACATTTTTCTCCCTCTCCCATAACAATCAAACTGAGGGTCATTCCATGAAGCTGACTGGTGAGAGGTTTGAGAGAGATAAGAGGGAGGACTTCTATACACAACATAAAGTTAAACTATGGAATGTGCTGCCAGGGAAAGTGATGACAGCCACCAGCTTGGACGGGTTTAAAAGCAGATTGAATATGTTCATGGAGGAGGAGGAGGAGGAGGAGGAGGAGGAGGAGGTGGTGGTGGCGGTGGCAGTGGCAGCAGCTATCAGTGGCTACCAGCTTTGCTGGCTATGTGCTACCTGCTTCACCAGAGGCAGCATGTCTGCATACACCAGTTGCTGAAGAGCTTCAGTAGGTGGAGGTCTTGCATCCATCCTGCCCTGTGGGCAGCTGGTTTGCCACTGTGCATTCGGAATGCTAGACTAGATGGACTTTGGTCTGATCCAGCATGGCTTTTCTTATGTCCTTAGTTTGTTGTTGCCTTGACCCACCACCCCCGCCCCACTGTGCGGTCTAGGACATTAGAGATAGAAAGGTCTGGAAGCAACCACAAATAATGGTTGCTTAGGCTTATACCACATGGAAAGGGTAACGTGCATTCCATGCAATACCCCTCCCGAGCCTTGGTGAGCGATTCTACGTGGCGATCGATGGCTATATCCGACCACCCACAGTCCAGTTTCACCTACAGCTGCAGTTCCAGTTTCTGCTCCCGCCCCGCTACTCTACCCATCACCTTTCCCTCATGCTTCTCCGCAACCCCAACTCAAGAAACCTGCCCCAGAGAACAACCTCACGCACGCGCTCGTCCCTTACGCATAAGCACTGCAAGCCCAGGACCTTCCTTACCAACCGGACGCAAACGGTCCTAAGTCCACCGTCTAGAAGCCGGAAAGAATGGACGGAACATCCGGTTGCAAGCACGATAGTAAGCGGGGAAGACGCCCTACCACTACCGTTTTTCTCAAGTGCCATTTTGAGAACAGTGAGGACGTCCATCTTAAGAGTGGCGGAAGTTTATTTCTTTCTCTAACACCACCAGATATAACAAACCAATTACTGTCTCTCTTGTTTTTCAAGACCTCACTTGCTTTTCTATCTGTACAGAAGTGCTCCTATTTCTTCCTTCGTATGACAGCAACTCTGGCCCGTCAGCGAAAATTTTGTCCTTACTCCCATCATGCCTTCCGCGTCTTCCCCCTTCTGGCCAATGGGCGCTTTGCATCAGAACTGGTCGTCATAGAGACCGATCCAGGCGTAGGGATGCTGAGGGAGGAGGTTGCAGCCTGCTAAGGGGGAAAGAAAGGCCGGGAAGGAGTTGAGTGAGGGCTTCTGTAGAAGAGGAGAGAGCAGTATCGATCTAAAAGCAACTTCTAGGCATCGAGGGAGTGAAGCAGCGGATACCACAAAGTGACCGCGTGAAGACTATATTTCTCTTTCACATCCATTCACTGTTTTCCCCTTACCCTTCTACTCCTGAAAGGTTGCCATCAGGCTCTGCCCAGTGTGCCCCAGCAGTCGTGGCATACTGCGCGGCTTTTGTGTCCTGCACGAGCTTCATCGTCCTAGACTACTGACTCTCCAGCCCGTCATCATCGCAGCTGCCATGCCAGTGACACAGACCTTGGAAGGGATAAAGCCCCCAGTGCTCGAGCAGATCTCAGAGCTGCAGAACAAGATACAGCTCCTAGGTAAGGAGAGTCTGACGTGCTTAGAGGTAGATGCTACAGCATCCCAAAATGAATAGTGCTTAGGAGTAAGGCCTCTAGAAGGCCTAGAGCAGTGGTGGCGAACCTATGGCATGCGTGCCGCAGCAGGCATGCAGAGCCCTCTCCGTCGGCACATGAGCCGAGTCACCCCAGCAGCTGAGCATCAGGTAACAGTGCACATAGTGAACATGCACATGTTCGGAAAGGAGTAGCGGCACCAGGCAATGACATCACAAGCTGCAACTCAACTCATTAGCCGTGACTCGTCCGAGCTTTCACATGGTCGGTCAGTGTCCTATTTGCTTGGACTGGCTGTGAGTTGTTTTTTCTAAACTAAAACCTCAGTATTCAGGTTTTATTGCAGTGTTGCCACTTTGCGATAAATAAGTGGGGTTTGGGTTGCAGTTTGGGCACTTGGTCTCTGAAAGGTTCGCCATCACTGGCCTAGAGTGTCAATGTGGTATGGTGGTTAAGAGCACAGGACTCAGACTCAAGTGATCTGGGTTCTGGTGCCTGCTCAGGGAGCCAGCTGAGTCTGTCACAAATTGTCAGCCTGACCTACCTCACAGGGTTGTTGTGCAGAGGAGGAGGAGAATTATGTAAGCCACTTTGAGTTTATTATAAGAAAAAAGCAGGATATAAATCTAATAAATTAATAAATAAAACATGTTTAGTCACTGAGGAGAATAAGCCTCATAGTTTCCACTGGGAGTTCTGAGTGGACATGGATAAAATTGGACTGCTTGCAAACTGCTGTATAGGCTCGAAAGTAACAGTAGAATAGGTGGCAGTTGGACCAGAAAGTTTTTCATAGTTCTTTACCATAACTATGTATGTATATTATATGCTGTTTATCATTTCAGATTGAAAGGTTGCACAACAAACTGTACAATTGGGTAGTTTTTAAACCTTTCATTCTTTTCAATAATTTGTGAATTAGGGCTGTACCACCATTTACTCAGGAAAAATCTATCCTAACATTACACTGAGATGATTACAACCATGCATTATCTAATTCAAGTGTAAAACTCTGATTGTTACCATGACTGATATCAAGAGGAATATCATTGGGTATTACTTCGGTATATTCCTGCTGAGAAGGGGATCCCAATTAAGTCCCACCTATAGCAAAAGTAACTTTAAATAAATAATAAAGCTCTGATTATTCAGCTAAACTAGCCTTACAAATATCTGTATCTGTTCATTCGTGGTATAACCAAGCAGAAACATGAAAGATTATAATGCTTGATTACCAGGGGAGCAATGTTTACATACCAAGTTATCTAAGGTAGTAGCTGTTTGCAAATTTGGGCAAGTGGTTGGTTAGAAGAGCTGACTAGAGAAGCCCAAGTGCATCTAGCAAGAACCAAACATAAACTTCTTGAAACTATTTGGCCTTGCCAGTACATCAACAAAGAGTGGAGAATGAGATGTGTTTTTTCTGCTCATTACAGAAGGTGACCGGAAAGCTTTCTATGAGAACTCCCAGTGGAACATTAAGAAAAATAAGGAGTCCATTTTGCGGTTGAGGCAGGAGAATAAGAAGTTGCACCAGAAGTTGGCAGACCTTCTAGCGGTGAGCCTCAGAGCCATGTTCTGCTCTGGAGAAAATAGATATGCTTGCCAGCAAGTAGAAACAATAAACTGCATGTGTGATATCAACACATGTCAGAATCCCTTCTACTTTCAGACATACTTTCTATTGGTTATAGTTCTTACTTAAGAACTCTTTCTGTGGGAAGAGTGTAAATGCTGAATGTATATATAGTCCAGTCATAGTACTCTATTAGTAATTGCATATTCTTCACGTATTTGCCTCAGTATCTAAAGCTGCAAACTTTGCTCAGGTTACTAAGGGAGCTCTGCATCCAATCACTGTCACTGGTACCATTCATGCACACTGCACCAGATGCCTTAAAAATAACAATGAGGGAAGAGGGTGGAAATTACTGTGTATGCCCTTCTGCTCCTTGTGCAAAAGAAGTAAGCTCTGAAGTCAAGAGAAGCATAGTGTATTGGACCTGAAAAAGTGAATTTAATTGGCTCATCTTTGGCAGGGAGAGGAGAAAGTAATCAAAGCTGCATTCCACGAACATCCGGCTGAACAGGGATCTGTGAAAAATAAAACTGGTGAGGTAGGTGATGATTGCAGGTATTGTTGCATAGAATGAAAATGGAGGTTTTCAGATTTGGGAATATAGTCAAAGATCTGCAAGCACTTTTTTTTTTTTTTTTTTGCAGATTTACTTAATACAATTCACTGAGTTCAGTAAGATTTACCCTCCAATAAGCGTGCAAAATATTGCAGCCAGACATGCTTGGGAAACAGCACCATTACCATAGCTCAGGTGTTAGGTTAAGATTTCTTGTTCATCGGGGCTTTTAATGCTAGTCCATTGCCCTCATAGCTTAGTGTTATGTCCAAACTGGAGTATTATGAGGACTTTTTGTTTTTACCTGCTTCTGTTGTTATGCAGAAGTATGTTGTTGTTGTGATTATTGTTATGATATACTGCTTTATAGAATTTACTGAGTTATGCTCTTCTTTGTGTAAATTGACATGCAAATGCTAACACTTGAGGCATGTCAGCAGGTGCAATTCTATTGATCACCAGCTCTTGAACTCAGAAGCTCACAAGCAGAATGGGAAGAGTGGTGGAGGAAATCTTTGCCTTCATGCCCTTATACCCTGCATTTTTGCTAAATAGGTACTTCCATCCATCTAGCAAAATCATTTCAGAAGTGGAGGTAAGGAGGCTGAGGAGGCCCCAGGAGAACTTGTATCCTGGCCTCCTCCCTCTCCACCCACCAAACACTCCCTTTTCTCCCTCTTTGAGGTTACTTTTCCAAATTGGTAGCCAGCCAGCATGGTTCTTTCTGTATGAGCTTCAAGGGCACCAGGGGAGGGGGCAGAGATCCAAGTCTTCCATCTGAGGGTAGAGCACTATCTCCATCCTTAGACCTGGGAACCAGAAGTCTCCCAAGGCCTCCTTATACACTGTCTACACTTCTTAAGAGAGGAAGGGAAACTTGAAATCTTTTGCATGGCTTCCTTACTCGGATGAAATCATAGGACAGAAGAAAACAGCCGTAAGATGAAACTGTGGAACAGCATACCCAACCTTCTTAAAAATTAAATCCCTCTCACTTGGGCAAATTAACTGCCAACGTAACTGTTCAGATGCCTCTGAGCCTTCTTGCTCCTCTGCTCCATAGGGTGCTATTCAGGTCATCAGTCACCGGCTATGTGAGAAAATCAATCAGTTAAACAACCTGAAGCATCAGGTGGAGATGCGAAAACGCAGACTGGAAGAACTGCAGCTTCAATACAGTACCAGGGCACAAGAAATCAATGACATGCATGCACTCGAAGAAGGCAACATTGAGACAGCCAAGGTAAGAGGAGCCTGAATCCCTTGGAAGGAGGAAGCTGATACCCACCATCAGAGGTTTCCCCTCACTGGGTTTGAGGCTTCCCAATATCCCAGACAGATAGAGTCTTTGCTTCTACTTGAGTCTCAGCTTAGCTAAAATGAAAGCAGACCAGTTTCATAAAACATAGGAAGAATGCCAAGTTGACATGGGCCTGAAGGCTTTCTGGGTTCTTACTCTTAACTGCGAGAATGGAGCTCAGGAGAATGGGGTGGCTACAGTGGAGTGGGATTGACTGAGAGTCAGGATTCTGGGGTCCTTGTCTCCTCAGCAAGGAGAATTGAAGGATTTAACACCGAGGGATGGGAAAGTCAGGACACTGCAGGTGGCTCATAACATCTGGCTTTAAGCAAAGCTATTCTCCTTAGTAGTGCAGGTAGCAAATTCTTGTGATGGGGCTACTGTGAAGCGGGTGTGTTGTTTCTGCTCTGCCGCTCCTCTCCATGGAATGCAATTGTGACGTGGGGATCTCTTGTGCTTTGACTGCTTTTCTGTCTGATCATTTCTATTCTGAAAAGCAGCTGCTCCCCACAGGGAAGGAGACATAATTCTGCTGCATGTTTGCATAGTATCTGACATGCTGAGACTCTCTTTGGAAGAGTGCCTTTTCTTTCAAGCAGTCATGCTTGTTAACTCTTAGAGGCCACACTGTGATCTTCCTGTACAGTTAATATAATCACCCCAGCTCTATTTTACAAGAAAGAGTGCTGAACTTTGGCTAGTGATGTATTAAGTCCTATTTGAAGAAACTGTCATTCAATGGGGGCTCACACCTCTAACTCCAGCTGTGAGACTAACTCTTGATATGTTAGGCTGAATCCCCTCCAGATAAGCATTGATTTCAAGCAGACTAAGCCGTATACCTTTTGTAAAGTACTTGCCCAGGATTTTGGCATCCTAAACTATTTGTGGTAATTAAAAGGGCTTGCCCTTCATCTGTGGTCTCTGATTTTACAAAGTCCAGGGACAGTTGCAGTGAATTATGAAGATGCCTTGCAAGAAATAAGCACAGCAGAGATCCATGCGATTAACTGGGATTGTGGAGAAGTTGTCTGAGCATTTAGAGGTGTGCTATAGTAAATCTAAGCATTTTTCTGGAATAAATGCAGTTTGGCTGCCTTGCTATTGATTGCCTCTCTCTGAACCTCAATATAGTGGGTTTTGCCTATGAGCATATAGAGGTCCTTGCAAATACCACAGTGCCTTGTCAGTGTTTGCTTTCCTTTGTTTCTAGTGGGCCTTAGGAACTTACCCAGGTCATTCCAAAAACTGTTTTGTCTTTCATGTTGCAGTTCCAATCCTGATCAGCTCCTCCTGTGGCTGCTGTTTCTCAAATAAAAAAGCAATGCTACCATTGCTAATTACAGTATATCACAGAAGTGAGTACACCCCTCACATTTTGTAAACATATCTTTTCATGTGACAACCCTGAAGAAATGACACTTCGCTACAATGTAAAGTAGTGAGTATACAGCTTGTATAACAGTGTAAATTTGCTGTCCCCTCAAAATAACTCTAACACACAGCCATCAATGTCTAAACCACTGGCAACAAAGGTGAGTACACCCCTAAGTGAAACTGTCCAAATTGGGCCCAAAGTGTCAATATTTTGTGTGGCCACCATATTTTCCAGCACTGCCTTAACCCTCTTGGGCATGGAGTTCACCAGAGCTTCACGAGTTGCCACTGGAGTCCTCTTCCACTCCTCCATGACAACATCACGGAGCTGGTGGATGTTAGAGACCTTGCGCTCCTCCACCTTCCATTTCAGGATGCCCCACAGATGCTCGATAGGGTTTAGGTCTGGAGACATGCTTGGCCAGTCCATCACCTTTACCCTCAGCTTCTT